ACATAAATAAAATGATAACACATTAATAAAACGCAGCTCATTTTGTATTTCAAAATATGAATATTCAATTTTGTCACGCTAAAAATAAGCCATTTAAATTTAGAAGCCAAAAATACAGAAATTTCATGTAGTCTGTTATAAATATCAATTTAGTATTGCAACCTAATAAAGCGCAAACATTCTTATTTATAATTTTCCAACTTCTTTTAATATTTGGATAATAAAAGATCATGACAAAGGTATTGGACCGGCGTAATAAAATGCTCAGAACTTTTTACACAGTTAATGCAATTTCAAAAAAGTTGCATATGTTTACTACCAAAGGGTCTGGATTGCCATATAGTTCAAATTTTAATGATTCAATTCCGCTGTCTGCTACAGATTGGATTTTTTTATTCCGATTTCGCGTCAAATTCCGCCTATAGACGGCACCTTCTATCAAGCTGTTTTCCTTTCATCTGGTCTTAAATTTTCGTAAGGTGTCTGGCGTTTCTGAAAGCTATTTTTTTATGATCTTTGGTAATAACCGATTCCAATCACCCTTTAATGCATGATTTAAGATAAACCCCCTGGTTTACAGTGCCCTCAAAAATTACGGGATCGGAAACATGACCAATGCCAGACATGCGGTGCAAAATTCTTCATTTTTTGGAGGATTGGCCTTTCTTTTGGACTTTGGCTTCATATTTTTTCTCATAGGGGTTGGAACTATGAAAAAAATTCCTTCATGGAAGATTTGAGGGGTCAGCTGTGACGTGGGGCTTATCTTCCATGATGACCACTTTTCCTCCAATTTTCTTCAATAATTTCTTGCAGAACGCATGAATCCTTTCCTGTTGTGTTGGTTTGTAATTTGGTGCTGTTTTTTTTCCCCTGGCTATAATCCATAGTTTATGGACTTTGATTTTGCACAGATAGCTTTCTGAAATCTTGACCTTCCTGGTCGCGCCAGCCGTTGCCGTTGATGAATGATTTTTTTAAATTTTTTTATGCGATTTTTGACTTTTGTCGTCGCTAGCTTTGCAGGTCGACCAGTAGGGACTTTGAATTTGAGTTCATTGGATTCCTCGTACTTTTTTATGTAAGAGTTGACATTTGAATGAGGAATACCTTCTTGCTAGAAAGAATGAGGAATACCTTCTTGCTAGAAAAATTGCCAAGTGATTTTGGAATCATAGTTTGTTCGATTTTTATGAAACTCAATCACTCTTTTTCCCAACTCTTGCCTTTCAACCTAAGTTATTCTAGTCTTAGCCATGACTCAATAATTGGTGACATATATCAATGGAAAGCTTATAACTTGGTCTATTCAAAAATAATTTTTTCGAAATTTAATTTCGCTGTGTTCCCTCCCGGCGCGCGTCTTAAGGGGCGGTCCAATACCTTTGTCATGATCTTTTATATGATTTTTTCATATGAACACACAAGTATCTGGGATCACAAAAATGTAAATTTTATGAAAATCCGAGCAAAATTTAATTTTTGGTGACAGTTAAACTATATGAAAACAGGGATTTTTTCTTGTTTTTCACACCTTTGAGGGGGTGTGGCTGGCGGAAATGGAGCCATGGCATAAAACCACTTGGGGGTTTTAGTAGACTCATAAGGTACTCCAACATATCCAAAGGGCATCAAGATCTGAAGATGACATGTAGAGGGTCTCTCCTTCTAAATATAGGATGAGCGATAGTAATGCCAAACTATTCAAATGCTGCATTTGAAATGCAGATATGCATACATGCAAATATGTACACTGTAAATAATCTGGTAATAAACATAACCAAAAAGCACAAATATATGACCAAAGTGGTAATGATAAGTTGTACCTGTGATAATGGCTTGGTACTAACGTTTTACCATAATAGTAACGAATTTTTACTACCTGGTAAAATATAATTACCAAATTTATTACCGAGAAATAATTACGTGCGTGACTTTACCGGATTATTAAGAGTGTATGTATGTATGTGAACACGAATAATCCTACCCGTAGAAGTGACACGGGTGCGTGACAAGTGTTATGGTCAGCCAAGACTCGAGAACCAGAGGTACTCCAAAATGAGATAAACAAAATTGCAAAACCCTGTCCCTGTTTTGGGCTGGCTCTTGGGTATGTACATACGTCAAGAATAAATTATTGAACTTGTGGTGTATTGTGAATATATGTAAATATGTATTGTGCTCAATTTTGATTCAGATTAGTACTTGAATTAATTTTTGGTCTATTGTTTTTGAATCTATTTAACCTTTTTCCAGAATAATATGGACTACGTACGTACCTTATTGGCTGTTTAGTTCATGTGATCCATAAGGCTGAAAAATATGACATTTTAAGGAATTTTAGAAACAAATTTCCTTGCCAACTTTGTAATTTGGTGGGTAATGACATTACCGTAATGTGTATCTTTGATAATTGGAAATTTTAGATATTACATTTCGCTAGTGCTTTACCTTGCCTCCTTAATTTGGTTTTTAAGTTCTTCTTGAAACTTAACGAAATATTACACATTTTCTAAGTTGCCAGAAAAATGCATGTGGAAAAATAAGATATTCATTTCATAACAATGTTAATTTAAATTTTAAATTTCAAATCTTAAAATCCGAAAGTGGAGATAAACCTTCATATAATTTTGGAATTTTCTATTTGAGAATTTGAATTGTCCCCACGAAATCCGCGGCCACTATGTGTATTACATTTTCATATCGTGGGGATTTTGGACTCCTGAATTTATTAAAGGATGGATGGCTCAGATCCTCAATAGAAGAAACCCTCGAGATGTACATACATACATACTAGGTGGCCCACTGAAACTGTAAGTGAAATGAAACCCTGTGGCTTCAACAGTTTTTATGTTACGAATTTCGAGTTAATTTTAACCGAAAGCCAGTTAATTTCTGAGTAGAAAACAATTTTTAGTTTTCGAAATTTCCTCCCCTGCCATTAATGCAGCGCTGAGGAAACCGCCTGCAGTTCTCCGCTGAAGCACGCACTAATTCCTGGGCAAAGTGTTCCATTCCGTGGTCAAAAATTTTTTTCCGATGTCTACACTTCTACGAGGCTTAGAACACACATTTGCCCCTAACTTTGACCATTTTTCATAATCCGGAGATTCAAATCCAGAAAGTAGAATTACCATTTCCGAGAGGAGGAAAAGTTCGGAATTTTGTTTTTTACCCACGCTTGGGTCATTTTTTGCACTATAAGCTGATTCCTAGTCCTACTGCAAGGTCCAGTCGACTTCAATGAATTGGATCTCACTTAGGGGATGTACCGCGGACTCGAAAACGTATTTTAAGAAATTTGATCCCCCCACCTTCCCCCCATTTTCAACAAAATGTAGAGAAATTGCCCCAATTAGCTCCCACCTGCCAAAATCATCACAAAGCTTGGATAATGTGGCTTTCTGACCTTTTGTCTATATTGGGGGATGTCTCTGACAGATTTGGCGTAGATAAGGCCAACTCGCTTGTTAAAATATTTTTCCTATGTGAAAATCTCCTCATCTGTAAATAGAATCCTCGTCACTTTTTCTGAGCGTACCGCTTGAAGTCACTCCTGGGTTTCTTTAATCTGGTTTCCCTTTGGGGGATGGTCGGCATGTGGCAAGTACCACATTTCAAAGTCCTAAGTCTAAGGTTCAATTTAAGCACTCATTGAATAATCTGCTTCTACACTGTCAGCTGTGAGGTTGGTTTCCGTTGGAATTTCGTGAATTTCTTCGGATTCCATCCTTCAGCGCCTTCATGATGGGTGTGGTCCTTGTAGGATTTCAAAATTTTTTTCTTCGACTGTTGTTAGTCCACCCCGCCCCCATGAACGTCTTTATAGTCTGTTGGGCTAAATTATACGGCTCGTTCGATTCCTGCCACACTTTTAAAATTCGCCATTTCTCTCCCCATTTTTGTAATGAAAAATTTTCGCCGCCCGCTTCCATTCAACATTTTCCATGCGAATTTGCATTGCAAATAGTAAAAACCTGATTTATGGTACTTATGCAAAATCGCACGGGGAATCCAATGCAATCATCAGATTTTCATTATCTCTGTCGGTTTCGAAGAAAACAGCCACTTACAGTTACAGTGGGCCCAGTATGTAGATATGACTGGGTTCGTTCCTCCTTGAATTCGATATATACATACATATGCAAATCGTGTTTTCTAGTCAAATGAGTACCTAAAAATGAACTACATTGGCAAAAAAATACATAACCTAACCCAACCTGACTCAACCTAACCTAGGCAATTCAGGTACTTTGGTAGCAATAGTTTCAACCTCATTCGAAGAGCATTAATAAAAAAATTCTACCTACGTCAGACCATCTCTCCTAATTTTTTAATGTTTACGAAAGACTGGCAATTAAGGTACATTTGTGTTGACGGGGGGGCTTAATCTGAATTATTAGCCAGCTGAATGCGTCTAGTGAATTCGTCGTTGAATGCGTCAATCGAATTATCTAGTGTGAACTAGTTTAATTGAAAACAAAATGTCTAGCCTGTCCGATTTTACCTGACATTATTGATGTAAGGTAATAACATCGTCCACCTTACATACATATGTACGTGGATATGCTGTATCTCTAATTCACGTTGCTAATGATTTCTAATAATTATAGATACAACGCTAGAGTGAAGGTATATATATATAAATATATATACCTAATGAATTACGTTTTAAATACATGCGTATTTCAAGAACAACTCATCTCCACGCAAGACATGAACCATATAAAAGGAAATTTCCAACTGAAACCCAGCCAGACATAAATTGCCTTGCGAATACATCAATTCTAACCGCCAACAAATTCTATATGTAGTTTAGACAAACAAAGTTCTCAGCCGTAAATTTAGTCTTTTGTCATAACTCTAAAATAATAAATCAGTTATGTACGTAACACAGTGCTTATTTTCTTGCATATTTTCAACATTTCTTGAACTAAATACGCCACAGGAAATTACAAGATTATAGAAACTTAAGAAACATTACGTTTTTGCAGAATCCTAAAATACAATGCCACCCAACAGAGGACACGAAAGCAATAACAATAATTTGGAGGCGACTCGAATTAAATATACGCTACACACTGACCAGGGATTCCCTTCCACGACGGAGATTGCAGTCCAGTTCGACCTTATGACGCCAGCCCTGGTCATAAACTCATTTCCCGACACGGAAACGATCCGAGGGGGTAAACTATTTCATGACGTGCATACCTTCGTAGTGCGACACTTTGCTACCCTTAACCACGTCAAGGATTCCAAGTACCATGCCAAACTTGTCCTACATTCGACAACATATGCCACATATTGCTACTACTTTGCTTCAAATTACGAGAAGCAGCTCTACTTTGCTACGATACATGCGTGGGGTGCGATTTTGGACGATTGGATTGAAAATGGAAATGCACTCAATGCGGACAGAGCACGAGTAGAAATTCTAGGCTGCATTGAGGAATTCATTGCGACTGGAACAAACAAAGAGGTAACGCTGAGTGTACGAGTTGCTCGTAACATGTTCGCCATAATATTTCAATTAATTTCGAGCAAAGATATGTATCGGAGGAAAAATTTCAATACAAAGCTTATTTGAAATAGTTGTTAAATAGAATATGAGAAAAATATATCTAGCGTTGGTCATCCGCTTCGATCCGGACAGGATTACCCGCCATTCAATATAACATGGATCCGATTTGATCAGATCCATGTTATAGGCATAGGCAATGGTTGAATTAAAAATCTGATCCTATATATGATCCGATTTCCGATTCGATCAATCATGTCTAGATGTATATTAATACCGTTTATGATTTTTGATAGGTCATGCCCCCTCAATCTGATCCCTTCCTTCACGCCATCATGGGAGGCTATGCGGAATGTGAGGCCATGGCGGATGAAATTATTCCAGATTACCTAAAACAGAAGCACGATTATGTCAAGGGTTTAAAAAATTATTTACACTCGAACGCATGGGGTTTAATGGATTCAAGTTTGAAGGGATACTCGTTCGAACAATTTTTGCACTGGAGAAATTTGGAAAGTGGAATATTCCTCTCGACTGAAATACTTATGCTGTGTGAAAATGCAACTCTCCCGAAGCACGTGGGAGATCACGTGATGGTTAAGGTGAGATTGGGACCAAGGTGTTTTTTATTAATGAATCTGCGAAATATATTTACCTATGTAGCTTCGGAAAAAAACTAGGAATTTGCTTTGGGATTTTTGCAGTAGATTTACCCACCGTGCGATACTACAATTACTACAAATTTAGAAAGATATACATGCATAAATGGGTATATTTAAATTTTTCGTAGATTAAGTCAGTTTTTGAATGAGATCAAGTACCTTCATTGTTTGAAATTTTGAGCAGTGCTTTCCATAAGAAATGCTCACAAGAAATTATTCGAGTTTTGAACGGGAGATATAAATGAAAGAAATAAACGCCATCAAGAGGCATGTTATTAGATTATGCATATTATTATGCATATTATTAAATTCGTAGTGAACCTATGTAGCTAGGTGGCGCTGGTTTCTTGAATTTTATTGCTTTTTGAAAACTGTACAAACGTTGCAAGAACTCAATTACTCATTTTTTATTCAATCATTTCAGACGCTTCGATACATGTGACAGCCTGGGCGCTGTCCGAAACGATATTCTCGGAGTGAAAAAGGAACTAGCGAAAAACGAGGAGGGAAGCACGGTCATGTTCAAAATCCGTGTTGAAGGAAAATCCCTGAATTCAAGAAATGCTTGCCCTTCACGATAAGCTTTATCGTGATTACGTCCAGTTGAGGGAAACAGTTTTGACCATGTTTGAATCCGCGGGGCAAGATAATTTTAAGAAACTTCAGCATCACATTGAGTTATTGGAACGGTACGAATATGGAACTACCTTGTCTCATTTTATGACACCAAGATATCTACTTTGAGTTGGAACAGATTAAATAGATTGGTTACATTTCATAGGTTTTATATAGCACATATTTGTATCCTGTTTTTTGAAGCCTTCCAGAAACTATAGGGACAGTTTCTTTTCTAATATTTAACATGGAACAAGGGAAACCCGGAGTTATTTTGGTTCATGAGACGTGTAAAAAATATTATCCCTGAAACCGTTAAAATTGAAAATCATCAATTATTTCGTGTGCATAGATATGTAAATCTTTGTAAAATTCCCCGAATTTTCAAATCGTTTACTTGAAATGTCGAAATAATTGATTGAAATATTTAATGAAATACATTTATAGCTTTGACTTTTTTATTGAGCTCTTTCATAATACCCTAATTTTAAGAAAAAAATGAAAAATGTTATTGAAATATTTGATTAAATTTAATATTTCATACAATTCGTAAGTAAATACGTTACGAACGAATTTGATGAAGTGTGCAGACTTATTAAATTTATAGATTATAAGTCTGACAAAGGCATAATTTGCAAATATGGCGTTAGCAGAGATTGGCTAAGATATGTTTTTTATGCTTGAATAATAAAAAATTAAAATTTAGTTGTAACTTAGTTGCTAATGTATATTGGTATTCAAAAATAACGGAAATTGATATACATGTTTGTCAATTAATTTTTCGAATTTGTAAAGACCTGATGAAGGAATAAGCATTCCGAAAGCTAGTGTCAAATTTTACAATAAAACACGATGTCCTCAGAATCCATTCATTCTTCTTCAAATTAAAATTTAATGCTGATAAGGTAAAAGAACAGAATTAAATAACCTGACTCAACATAAAATATAGTCTTGTATATGATTGCTAATCCAATTCACGGTTTTCATTAATTTTCGTATGACGCCAATTCGAAAATCTTATTCTGCATGAAGAGTTGATATGCATATATGGAAACTTCACATTGTTTGACCGAGAAAAGAATTTTAGGCTTCATACATACATATACATTTAAATGCACATTCTCTTACCTGTAATTCCAAATTTCTCTTGCCTGCAAGTTTAAAATTTAAGCATCCCCATTTCACCATTTAAAATTATGCGTATCAAGAAAATTAGATTTACTATAACCCCATTATTTTTCTCACATAGGCCGCTTCAGGCTATGCAAATATTCACTAAATTGTCGAAGGTCTTCTACCCGCAATACATAACGTGGGATTGGGGAAACTTGACACCCCACCGGACCACGCCTATGACACGGCTGGTCCCCTGGTTTCTCCTCTTAAGTCTTATCCTCAATTTGGTCTACGTTAGCATATTTTGCGACGAAATCTTCACTCGAGTAAAGATGTTAACGTAACTATCAGTCTTGGCCTGGTATCCATCCTAACGATTTCTATTCAAATATACGCATCCGTCTTGATGCTGACTTGGGTGAGAAAAGTTGGCCAGATTTGTTTCGTTTTGATGAATTTGCTAAATTTGAAGGAATTACGAAAGAAAAGTGGTAAGTGTGGATTTTTAAAGTTTATTATTCAACCATTTTTTCAACCTTCCCCTTGTTTTTGTAGCGAGTTATATCAAAAAATCCTGCCATAATGTAGGAATCATAAGGCGCTTATCTTCCGTCGCATGATCCCATTCAAGGATTTTTTTTGCGGGGGTGGGGGGATTGAACACGTCCGCCTTGGTCTTCGTCCCGTTGTAGAAAACGAAAATTGCACTTTGACGCAAATATATTTTTTTAAACAACTTTCATATGTGCAACTTTCACACAAATTAAGGATAAATAAGTGCAGTTTGAGTTCCAAGGGTTGGCTTTGCTTTTTGATATAACTCGCTAGGCTATTTTTAAAAAAGTTTTCATTGTTATTACTGTTTTTAAACTTGAATATATTTGTATAAATAAATATTTGCAATCTCTAAATATCGTCGTACTAATTCCGAAACCACATAAGTGCACTCAATGCTTAATTCCGAAATAACGTAAGTGCACTCGATGCTTAATTCCGAAATCACGTAAGTGCACTCGATGCTTAATTCCGAAATCACATAAGTGCACAGCAAAAACTATTGAAAGACATAAGTGCAATTCCAAAAATGAATTTATTATTTGTCCAAGATCTTCATACAAACTGAACGCACATACATATGTACTGGTGACAATTATTCTTACATAGACTTACTATCACGTTTATATGCTAAAGTAAATTTAAAATTATTGAAAAGACATAAGTGCAATTTTAATATTAATTAGTCAATGATTTGTGTGTAAATATGCCCATGATTTTAAATGTGATTACTTGCCCTTTCCAATTATATTGAAATGTTTAAATAAATCTTACACTGGTGCTGAAAATCATACTCAAACTTTTTATGGAAATACATATTCTTGTTAAATTGTCATTGGAAAAAGTTTCTGAATATACATCATAATATATTATACATTTGTTGCATAAAATTGTAATAAATTTTTTATCACACGAACAAGTTAACCGGGGCATGATAAGATGTATTTCAGGCGGATTTATCAGTCAAGTCGTCTGTGGTCTTGAAATAATTTATAAAAATTCGCATATTTTTGCTTGTATTTTTATATAGTATGTACGTACAGTATGTATATACAGTATGTAACTTATTTACTGATACAGATTTAATTATATTATATGACACGCATTTTCTATATATCGACATGATTTCATAATTTAAAAATGAAATATACGAAAATATATTGAAATATACGCTTGCATACAGACAGGCTGGATATGCAAACGTATATCTCAGTTTTCGAATTTTCGACGCGATGGCAATTTTAGACCTCAAACCTGTTTTTGGCGAAAAATTTCTGTAGGCGTCAAAAAAATCGTACACGGTCCGACATAAGCTCATTTTAAAAAATATTGCAAAGTTAAAAAAAAATATCCACAAAAGTTTTTTTCTACCCCTCAAATTTTGTCGGAAAAATAATCTTGACCTTTGACCTGTCTGTGACATTACAAATCGACGAGGAGAAAATTTACCGTGGATAACTTTTTTGGACGGAGTTTTAAATTTTTTAATTGCGAAATCATGTCGATATGAAGAAAATGTATCATTAAATACGTTACAAACTGTGCATATGTCGGAGAATATATAAATGTAAATATAGCGAACTTATATTTATTTGGAGAGTAAATTAAGTTCAAAATTAAGTTAAAACTTCCTTAATTTAATTCGTAGCAACCGCGTGAAATTTACTTTAGCATATAAACGTGATAGTAAGTCTATGTAAGAATAATTGTCACCAGTACATATGTATGTGCGTTCAGTTTGTATGAAGATCTTGGACAAATAATAAATTCATTTTTGGAATTGCACTTATGTCTTTCAATAGTTTTTTCTGTGGACTTATGTGAATTCGGAATTAAGCATCGAGTGCACTTACGTTATTTCGGAATTAAGCATTGAGTGCACTTGTGTGGATTCGGAATTAACCATCAAGTGCACTTATGTGGTTTCGGAATTAGTACGACATGTAAATATGTACGGATCGTGACAGACCATATCGACTCAGTCCTCGGCTTACTTCTCCATCTCCTCATCCCCATGGTCATTACCACCCCCTTAGGAGCAGCTTTTCTCCCCATTCTTCTTCACAACAGCGACCCGACCTACTTCCTCTTCCGAAATTTGACAGGGGTCCCTCCCTATGGAAAAATTATACTTCAGATGCCCATCATCTTCTTTAGTATCTTTCACTGCTGCGCCATAATTGTGGGCTGGTTCACCATCATGGGAAACACAATCCCCGTTGTGACCACTTGTGTAAAAACCATGTGCCAATCTACACATTTCAAAGTTGTTTTCAGAAAATATTTACAGCTACAAATTATCACTGAGGCTATCAACGACATTTTTTACTTAAGCTTTTCATCCCTAAGTTTCATACCGGTGATATGCTTTACCATATTTGGTTACATCTTGGTCAAGTTGGGGGCCTTTGTTCCTTTCCCGTTAACCTTTATGGCAGGGTCGCTAATCGTTTTGGAAATTGCCTTGGTACATTTTGGGATACCGATGATGACAGAAGTGTAGATTTCGGCGCGGGATTTTATCAGAATTTGGAAACTGGAAGAAATTACTGCCTGGAGAAGGAGACAGTTGAGAAGCTGTAAGTTGCTTAAGGTGGCTGTTGGACCGTTCGGCTATGTTGGGAAGGGTTCAAGAGGGGCGCTATTTTCGAAAATGTTTGACTATGCGTTGTCTTTGATAATTTCGGTGTAATCCTGCAGTTAAAAATGTGTAACAGAAATTTATTTCCAATGGGGACGCAAACCGTGTCTTTGACAATTTTTTGACCAGGTTAAATAAGTAGTTTGAAAGAGCAACTCTTTGGAAACAACATTTATTGCGGTATTTGCGAAGATGCGAAAAATTAAACAAGTTTTGGTCGCCGCAGGTTCGCGACAAGCACAGAATCCTCTGGAAAACCGAGCGTGTTCTCGAACTTGACGCTCCGAATTTGTCGCATCTGTGCAAGTTCTGTACTATTTGTTACTTCCTAAGAGTTGCTCTTCCAAACTAACCTGGTCAAAAATTAATGTGGGTGGAACATGATTTAAGTCCCCATTATTCAAGATAAGGTGCATACAGATGTACATATGTTTACGAAAATTGAAATACATAAATGAGTCACGTTTTATTTATTACACGAACGATCAATTTGTTCCTGAGTGGCAAATATTCAATACCACGACGGAATTTGGTGATTATTCTATACAATTGTTATAAGAGTTTATAAATAAATATTTACGATACAATTAATGAAATTGCAATGTTTTACATTATTTATTTTTATTGGGAAGTCAAGCAGAAGTTTATTTATTAAAATACCAGATTGTCTTATGTCAGTAAATAAATTGCATGGCTCACAAAATGAGGCGGTTGTCTTCTTGTCTGAATTAGTACTACATAAATAGATACGTAGGCTGTTAACACCATCCGGATGTGAAATAATTAGTGTTACATAATATTTCTAAATTGCATAGATAATACACCAAATCTTGAATCGATTGACAATACGGACACACGTAAATAAAACTTTTCTACACTTTAGAAAGCTTTTCTGTGTTCTTTGTGATAACGCTGCATCATAAACTTGAAGTAATTAAGTCATAAAACTTTAAGCTAACTATAACGAAATAATTCTGCTATGGTGACTCACACAATATACATAAAAAGCGAGATGCAATTATTCAAAATTTCATTACTGCATTTTTACATACATAAAGTATCTGCAGTTTCAAAGGAAATGCTAATGGGCAAAGTGCAGAAAACGTGATTTATCATTAAACATCTACATATCTAAAAATTCAAATATGTTTCGCTTATAAATTTCCTCATTGAAATTTAGTTCAAATCTTAATCACCATACTAAATTAATGAAAATGGCAAATAGGGTAATTTCAATGAAAGCAAAACTCTCATCTCTCCCTCCCTGAGGTTGCCTAATTGGCAAAGAAATTCTGCGAATTTTCCGACCATGTGGAGTTCAGCGTCCACCTCATTAAACTCCCGAAAGCTCGTTACATATATACATACAACTACCCATTCTTTTTGTCCTATAATAGTTACTAAATTTTTGTTAATTATCTGTACATCAAAATTTTACCATTCTTAGGTGTTTCTTATGTAAAAAGGGTCTAATTATAAAATATCATACCATATATAGCTGCTAAACATAACCTCTAAATACAGATATATAAACACCTTCCTCCTTTGCAGAATCCTACATACAACAAAATGCCACCCCACAAAGAATACGAACCCAACAACACTAATTTCGAGCAAACCCGGATAAAATACAGGCTACGCCCGGACCAGGAATCCCCTTCCACGAACGAGATTACAGTCCAATTCGACCTTGTGACACCAGCTCGGGTAATGACCTCATTTCCCGACATGGAGACAATCCAAGCAAGTGAACTGTTTCGCGACGTGCAAGCCTTCGTGGTGCGACATTTTGCTGTCTTAGAAGACGCCAAGGAGTCCAAGTACTACGCCAAACTTGCCCTGCATTCGACCACGTTTGCCACATTTTGTTACTACTTTGCCTCAAGTTATGACAAGCAACTCTACTTTGCCACGATACATGCGTGGGGTGCGATTTTGGACGACTGGATCGAAAGTCAAAACAAGATTAAGCCGGACTCACGTCGGGTAGAAATTCTTGGCTACATTGTGGAATTTATTGCGACTGGAGAGAAGAAAGGGGTAATGTTTAGTCTAAAAATTTGTGACCGATATGATAAAACTTCAATATCGAAATAGTTATGTACGTATGTATTACTAAACGGTGTTACTTGTCACTACCACTTTGGTAGAGTTAAACACATATTCATATCTCTTTTTGTTATTTTACTACTAGATTTCTTAGTGTGGATAATCATAGAATTTTCACAATATGTTCCTTTTGCTAGGGTGTTTGCTAGGGTGCACTCTGACCACTTCCTTCATGCCATCCTTACAGGTTATGCGGAGTGTGATGCCCTGGCAGGAAAAATTATGCCAGATTATGCCAAACTGAGGCATAGTTTTATCAAGGGTATAAAGATTAAAAAATTTATTTCACTAATTATCATTGCATTACACAAATTTCACATCAGAAAAGCTGACTAACAAAGGAGTCGTACATTAAAAGTCCCTAACCTGAATAAAAATCGTAGAAATCATAAAAAAGTCAAAGTAAGTTAAAAAATACATTAAAAATAATACACCTCTTCTAATTCTCTGCCTTCTGGGAGCGTCCCTAAAATGGAGGCTACGTTTCCCCGCTGAACAGCTAGAGAGATTCGTTGGCGGAGAAAGGTGACAGAATTAGGCTGTCCGGTTCTTGCGGTGATCCGTTCACCGATTTGATTGATGAGGGAGAGCCCCTCCTGGCCCCACACCCCCGTCGTTTCCATTGCGACGGGGACAAAAATAAAACGGTCCAAGAGGAAGGCGTACCTCTTCCTCTTTCTATCTTCCGCCATGCTCGCAGCGGCGCCTTGATAGCGCACCGTGTTGGAAAGGTAACTGGGGGCAAAAGTGTCTACGCAAGTAAAATCCCAAAGCAAGGATTTTCCTCTTGACCACGGAATAAGCGTCATTCCGTCGGGACGCTTCCCGTCCTGGGTGGAGCATCCCGCCGGCTCCCGGATGCAAGGAACTTCCGCCGAACGGAGCGCTCGCGCAATCACGTCGTTGGCGGCCTCATGGCGGGACCAACGTCCCGCACTGCGCCGACAGGAGAGGCCATGGTAGCCTCGCGCAGTTACTTGTGCTCCGCACGGGCACTTGTGGGGTTGGCAGACGTCGCAGCCCAATCGGAGGGAAATTGAGACACGAAACGATTCGTTGGATAGAAGGGTTCCAAGTTGGGGAGATGGAAGGGCATTAAGCCAAGAGCCTGCAAACTTATCCCGCAGGGCACGATAGCGGGCGGTGTCCTCCGGGGTGGTCGCTCCTTGTGTTAACTGGGACAAGGTGATATCCAGAATTGGTCGCTCCCACGCCGCCTGAACTCCTCTGATTGTTTCGGCGGGGAGTTCGGCTGGTCCGAGGGCGGTCCATCGCTCCTCCCCCTCTATCATGGCGGCGTCGGTGCCATGCAAATCACCTGGAAGCAGACGTTCCATATGGGGCAGGACGCTGTGGACGGACGCAAGAAAACACGTAATCGCCACATCCACAGCGTGCCTAATCCCTAGGCCGCCTTCCTTGACAGGTAGGGACGACTGCATCCAAGCAGCCGCCGAGAGGGAGCAGTTGAGAATTGCCTCGAGAGCGTCCTTCAGGGTGGCGTCGTAGTGAGCCAGGGAATCCAACTTTCTCCAACTTGGGGCGCAGCGGAGAAAGTAAATAAGGCGGGGAATGGAAATTGATGCCCTAAGCAGGAAGAACGCAGAATGGGTCGAGAGTTGCTGTAGACGTTGGGAAAAATTAGCCAATTGCGCCGTCTTTGCTGCCAAAACAACTTCCATCGCTTCTTTGGTGAGGGGGGCGCCAAGAAGCATAGCACTTTCGGGGGACAATAGTTGAATCCCAGGGGCTACTTTCTGGAATTGTAGGAGAATGTCGATGGCGGTGTCTCGATCGGCCCCTAAAATGCCCACCTCGCACTTATCATGATTGAGGTGTAGCCCCACTTCCACACCCATTCTGGAAATGGTCTCTAGAGCCGCCAAAACCTTATCTGGAGAGTCCGCCACGGCCCCATCGTCGAGATACCACATATTTAGTTCCGTTTCTAGCACTTCGACGATGGGGTGGATGACTAGGGAAAATAGGGCGGGACCCAAAGGGTCCCCTTGATGGCACCCTAGGAGCGAAGGGATTGGTATTGTCCCGTAAAAAAGCGACGAGGGGTTGGCGTAGCACTGGGACACAAATGGAAAGATTGAGGGAAACCGCTCCCGAACGACATTGAGAAGAGTATCCCGCCGGATTTCATTGAAGGCGTTCAAATAGACCCGGGCGGTGTGGGCACCAATTTCGGCACCACCTTTGACGCCAACTCCCAACTGGTGCGGAGAAAAGTAATTCGTGAGGTCAGGGGTAATTCGCGCGACAACAATTTTGGCCGCGAGACGACGCCCTTAGCCCAAAGCAAGGCCCTTTGGCTTGGTGGTACGAGGGTAGGATTGTCACCACGCAGTCACACGTTCGATTCCACCAGCCGGGAAGCTATTGCTAATCCTACTTGGCTCTGTGTTAGTACGGGGTAGGTGCTGTCTCTCATGGCAGGGTGAGCCCAGTCATACGGAATGGCAATGCCATTGAGTCAGCCCCCGGCAGAGTTCCGTTCTCTGTTGGGATGAGACGACTTGCCACAGATTATTAGGCAAGAAGTCCACATCTAAGGCTGAAAAGCAGAGAACATTTGAGTCCTTTCGATGTAAAACGACAGCATTTTAGCATTTTAGCATTTTAGCCACGTGTTGCCCACGGCGATAGGTCTAATCCCGCCAGACTTTTTTTTCAGCGCCGTCAGGGACGCGCCGTAGAAAAGGGGGCAGAAGATATCGGGCACTCCTCCGTTGTGGACGTGGTTCACAAAAGATGCAATAGCCTCAACGAGGCCGTCACCCTCCTCACCGTGGGTACACCCCAAAAGGTCTTTCAGGATTTGAGGCCGCATTCCGTCAAGTCCTCCCGCCGATCCTGGCGGGAACGTTGAAATGGCCTTGACCACTTCGTGATCAAGTACAGGCGGGATGATGGGATCTTCTGGAGGTGGCGGGAAATTTACTGGCAGTGGATGGGCGGGATGTTTGATGAGAAGGGCAGGGAGAGTTACATCATCGTTGAGGGCAATGGAGTCGTCTGAACATGCGAGGCGAATGGCACCGCGAATGTCGCCGTCCGAGAGTTTGGCCTCGACCTTCTTCGCAGTTGTATCGGCGGGGGGCCCCTTTCTACTTGACGGTGGACGTGGGGGGCGCGCTGGTGGGATGGAGAAACGCTGGTCCCAGTCAGCAGTGGATGCCTTGACCCAGGAAGTCAAATTCTTCACCTCATCAGTTTTCTGCGGGACGGGAAGGGTTGCGTAACTGAAGAGGAGCAACTTTGCCCAGACTTCCTCGTCATCTGACTCGACCACCGCCTTTAAAACTTTAGTGAGGCACCTTGAGACTGCCATCCTTGCACCGCGGGGTACTCTGCGTAGGGTGGGTGTGGTCGCCTTAAGACGCGATAGAATTTCCCCCCAGTCCTTTCGTTGCTGTGGTTGTGGTCCCACTGGTGGAGGTGCGTCCGCCCATTGGATGCCGACAAAACAGTTTTGGGATATTCCTTTCGACCCGATTCGGCGCGCTGCGGATTCGGGAAATAGCTCCTTAATATATTTCCCAAGCGTAGTATCCGCTACTCCTCCAACCCCACAGCGGTCCACAACAACGGCATAGCGGGCAAAGACTTCGGATTTCTTTAAGAGAACTTGGGGGTGCGAATTAGGGTCGACGGCGAGGAAAGATTCATGAATCCACCGTTTTGTGAATTCGGTAGTTTCCCTCCTAGTAACGCCAGGCGACGTCGGTGAGACCGCGCTAAGACGGCGGGAGGGTGGTAAAGAAAATGCCGGACTACATGGGGTCTGAATTGTTTCATCAACTTGGGGGGATTGGGTGAGGCAGGAAATACTTGCGGGAATAATGGCGGTGTCCGCAGCTAGAACCGATAGTTGCGACATCCCTGGCTTGGTCCGTCCTGAGGAAATATTAGCTGAAGCAGGGCGAGACACAGAAAGAGGCGATGTGTCTGGCGGTGTCCGAATTTCGGGGGGATTAGCGAGAGCCCGGCCGGACGCAGAGAGAAGCGACGTGTCCGGCGGTGTCCGATTTTCGGGGGCATTAGCGGGAACCGGGACGGGCACGGAGAGTAGCGACGTGCCCGGCGGTGTCCGATTTTCGGGAACATTAGCGGGAAACGGGACGGGCACGGAGAGTAGCGACGTGTCCGGCGGTGTCCGATTTTCGGGAACATTAGCGGGAACCGGGACGGGCACGGAGAGTAGCGACGTGTCCGGCGGTGTCCGATTTTCGGGAACATTAGCGGGAAACGGGACGGGCACGGAGAGTAGCGACGTGCCCGGCGGTGTCCGATTTTCGGGAACATTAGCGGGAACCGGGACGGGCACGGAGAGTAGCGACGTGTCCGGCGGTGTCCGATTTTCGGGAACATTAGCGGGAAACGGGACGGGCACGGAGAGTAGCGACGTGTCCGGCGGTGTCCGATTTTCGGGAACATTAGCGGGAAACGGGACGGGCACGGAGAGTAGCGACGTGTCCGGCGGTGTCCGATTTTCGGGAACATTAGCGGGAAACGGGACGGGCACGGAGAGTAGCGACGTGCCCGGCGGTGTCCGATTTTCGGGAACATTAGCGGGAACCGGGACGGGCACGGAGAGTAGCGACGTGTCCGGCGGTGTCCGACTTTCGGGGACATTAGCGGGGGCATTGCCGGACACGGGGAGATGCGACGTGTCTTGCGGTGTCCGATTTGAGGTGAAACCTGATAAAAAGCGGCCGAATAAGGATTGGGATCGAGGTGCTGCCAGGCCAGCGGGGGCCAACGGCGGGTCTTCGCCCATCATCAGATCCATCATCAACATGATAACCTGTAGTTGGCACCGAGCGCGAAGATGGTCCCAACTGGTCCCACTCGGAGAAAGATAAATGGATCAGAACAAAATCACTTTGACTAAAATGCGCACTTCGAATAAAATCCCAAAGAAATTAAGAGATTTTCTTGCCCGATTAAGGCACATAAAGTGCGTGGGAGTGGCCGACCCCACAGGAGACGGTCACTCAGTACTCCGTGCCGCCCCCTGGAAGTGCAGGGACCACCCCCCTACACTAACAGAGTAGTGGGTGTCCGTGCTGAAACCAGGTAGTAGTAGTAGTGGTTAAGGGCCACAAGAAAGAAAGAGTCCACTCGAGAATAAGGGAAGGAAGTCCCTTCACAAGTCCAGTCCGAAACTACGAAATTCGTAACGGTCTATAAGGTCACCCGGGCGAATGAAATTGTCCCAAATTCGGCTATCACACTTTCTGAAGGCCCGATGAGGAGGTAGTGATGATTTTTTGGGGTGTGGGTGGCCCGTAACATTCAAAACTTTAGCACAAAAAAAAATATTCCAAGAGAGGAGAAAAAGGGATGTCCTCTCTCTCTGGCAGTCTCTCTGTCTCTAAGTGGGGCAGGGTATAAAGATGTATTTACATTCTAACGCGTGGGGTATAATGGATTCAAGCTTGAAGGGCTACTCGTTCGAGACATTTTTGCACTGGAGAAATTTGGAAAGTGGAATATTCCTCTCGACGGAAATACTTCTGCAGTTGGAAAATGGGACTCTCCCAAAGCATATGGGAGACCACGTGATGGTCAAGGTGAGCTCAGGTGAAAGGTGTTATTTTGCTAAATTCTTTAGGGCAATTACACGTATTTGTAAAGTATTTGTTCCGTTTTGAAGTGATAAGTTCTTGCTTGAGTGAAGAAATGCGCACTATATAACGGACAATCTATAACTAAATTCGATATTAAGCGTAAACCGCTAGATGGCGCGTAGTTATGACATTTCTTGCAGTGAACAAAATGTGGAAACGGTGCTAGATTTCAAACCCCGATTTTTTAAATTAATTACAGACTCTGCGCTACATGTCCGCAACCTTGGGCGCTGTCCGTAACGACATACTCGGAGTGAAGAAGGAACTAGTGAAAAATGAGGAGGGAAGCACGATCATGTTCAAAATCCGTGTTGAACAAAAATCTGTGGATGTCGCCATTCAAGAAATACTCGCCCTTCATGATAAGCTTTATCGAGATTATGTCCAGTTGAGGGAAACGATTTTTATTATGTTTAAATTTGCGGGGCAAGAAGATTTGATGAAATTGCAGAATTATATCGAGTTATTGGAACGGTACGAGTATGGGACGACCTTGTCCCATTTTATGACTCAAAGATATTTACTAGAAGGGGAGTTTGAGTTGGAACAAATTCCATAGATTGGTTGGCTTTACTGGGTTTAAAATAATTTTCTATCGGGGTAAATATGGATTTCAAAAAATCTTTAGTTGTTGTTCTCCTTTACTACAGTATCTACTAATACGTAAGTTTGATAAGACTGTATGAATCATATCCAAAAATGGTGAAACTCTAATTCACGGTTTCTAAATTTTATAAATTAAATGCTGTACGTAAAAGTCGTAATACATGGAATAACAATAAAACTTGAATATAAATACGTTTAAATTTGTTCTTAATCTGCAGTGATACAAGGCACAGAAAGTATTTAATAAATCTCTTCCATAACATATCGTCGTACTAATTCTACAAAGGCCTAAGTGCAGACAACACTTTATTTTACAAAGGCCTATGTGCAGTCGATACGAAATTTTACAAAGGCCTATGTGCAGTCAATACGAAATTTTACAAAGGCCTATGTGCAGTCAATGTTTTATTTTACAAAGGCCTAAGTGCACAATAAAAACTATAAAAAGGCCTAACTGCAATTCCAAAATTATAAATAGTTAGTTAATCATGTAAAATCATACTGGACACTGAAGTAGGAATATTTTGGTCAGATAAGGTTATTCCTGGTATGATACTCTAAATTTCAAAACCACACCCTGCAGGGGTGTGGTACTTGGGGTCTAAATTATGTTCATAAAAACCGCGCACTGTCATATTTCATTTTCCTCAGCCCGATAAGGCAATCTAAATGGATCATTATAAATTTGAAAACCACACCCTCAGGGGGTGTGGCTACTGGCGTCAGGTTTAATTCACGAAAATTCTGGCATGAAATATTTCATTTCCCTCATGCACGCTATTATGGATAATTCGTTGACACGTTTCTATCACAAGTTGCCAAATGCAATACCACCACTGAACACATTAATTTCACAGTTATCTGACCCTACAAACGAAACTGCTTCTCACCATAATATGTTTAACCAATTTAACGCATCATCAAATTCTCATAATCAGAGGGCGGATATTTTTGTAATCATATTCCGCAAAATATGTGTGTAATATGTGCTGAAAAACCGGAATTTTTGAACATGAAGAATTTTTCTGAAACTAAATTTTGTCTTCTATTTATGAGATACAGTTTTGAGGAAACCTACTATTTGCCGATTCATTATTTAGGCGCCAAGAACCATGTATTCCAATGGAGTGGTTTTCAAATTTACAGTATGGTCCTGATGAATTAAACCTGACGCCAGTAGCCACACCCCCTGAGGGTGTGGTTTTCAAATTTATAATGATCCATTTAGATTGCCTTATCGGGCTGAGAAAAATGAAATATTACATGCCAAAATATTGTTGAATCAAACCTGACGCCCGTAGCCAAACCCCCTGAGGGTGTGGTTTTCAAATTTATAATGATTCATTTAGATTGCCTTATCGGGCTGAGGAAAATGAAATATGACAGTGCGCGGTTTTTATGAACATAATTTAGACCCCAAGTACCACACCCCTGCAGGGTGTGGTTTTGAAATTTAGAGTATCATACCAGGAATAACCTTATCTGACCAAAATATTCCTACTTCAGTGTCCAGTATGATTTTACATGATTAACTAACTATTTATAATTTTGGAATTGCAGTTAGGCCTTTTTATAGTTTTTATTGTGCACTTAGGCCTTTGTAAAATAAAACATTGACTGCACATAGGCCTTTGTAAAATTTCGTATTGACTGCACATAGGCCTTTGTAAAATTTCGTATCGACTGCACATATGCCTTTGTAAAATAAAGTGTTGTCTGCACTTAGGCCTTTGTAGAATTAGTACGACGATATGTATCAGCTCATTCTCTCCCACGTAACGATTCTTAAAAGCATTACAAAACCTGAACAACAAACATTTCAATTCTGAGTAAGAATTAAATAATTCGACAAGCAGATCCGCCGACTATTTCAAAAGTGGAAATACTCTATTGGATTATGTTCCCCATATGAAAAGAATTAAAACTTAGCAATTTTTTCGGGCGCCAAAATTTCCCTTGGGGGGTTATGAGAATAATGGGAGATTCATATGGTGCACCTAGGGCACAGCATATCTATGGAACGGGTTGATGAAATTTCAAAAACAAAATTTTGTTAGACTCTCTGGATCAGTACCCCGATAGGTTTTTCGAACCGAGTTGGAATTCCGGCTTTCAGGGGTTTTTCCCAGCGACGCAAGATTTACTCAAAAATTAGTTTTTCGCTATGACGAAAAAGTATGACGAAATGTTCATACGTTAGCGTTTCACCAATTTTTACTATGTTGCAAATTATTAGTAGTAGAATAAAGGTTAAATTACTCAAAAAGTCGAAATCGACCTGCGTGACCTTTTCTGGGGATCGAAAGGTCACAATGTCAAAGGTCACATTGCCCCATAAATGGGGTATCGTTGGAAAGGTATTGGCGAGTTTTAATTCTATTCATATGGGGAACATAATCCAATAGAGTATTTCCACTTTTGAAATAGTCGGCGGATCTGCTTGTCGAATTATTTAATTCTTACTCTTCTTCATCATGCTAAACCTGTGAATTTGTAAATATGTATTGTAAAAATGTAAAAACATTTTCATAAATGGAGCACTGCTTTGTAATCAGTGATGTTCAGTTATGTAAATAAGGAAATAATCACTGACTGTGAGTGATTGCTTCCTTGTGTACATACTTAAGTGAGCATTTGCATACATATGTAGAATAATTAGAGTATAACTGGTACGAGAGAATGCATATATTTACATAAACTACAATTAAATGTGACCTGCCATAGTTTATTTTATGTGGAGTAAATATATAAATATGCCGGAAGCTGATTCAATGCAAATATTTAGCATTTACGAGAATGAGACCAACTCCAAATTCATGGATTGCGGAATATTTGCTGTAATATTTATATCTGACATGTAATGTTCCTCGAGATAACGGTACATTCCGCAGCGGCTGACCAAGCCATTGGTTCATACATATAAAACAAAGTTGGAGTCTCACTATTCAATTGAATCATCCTTAGCAAGCACACAATTCGAACTCTGGTATCTTGCCGCTAAAAAATCCGAAGATCAATTTTGCACGAATAATGGAGATAGAAATTACTGAGGATACTTTCGGAACACATCCGGGTGGACCGGATCAAGAACCACGGGTCGTTCAACGATATACCATGACCAATCCTGCGAATGGATTTAGTGCTCAGGTAATAAAAATTCAAGGTGGTAATAAGGGTTACCAGTCCGTTGGCAGAAGGCGAGTCACATTGTAATACTTACACTGTTAGAAATCTGTTAAAGCCAGGTACGTATTGATTTGTTGGTACTAAAGTTTCTATCGCTTGGTATGTGAATCCAATATGGTAAAACTTTAATACCGAGCTACTACCATACCGTATTGCTTATCAATACCACTTTGCTATAGCCAAAATATGAATACCGCTTGATATTATCGATATTTAAATACTAAAGGAGGAGGCACCCTTCTTATGGGAAACCTGCCTGCCGTCGAATTTTCTGAATTTTTGATATGTTGTAGACTTCGATGTGCTGAACAAAAGTCTCCATACCTCCGACCCCAGATTTTCACTGGTTTGACCTCCAACCGAGGTCAAAGGTCAATAGAACTTGGCCATAAATAAAAACATGCAAGATTTTGAAAATTTCTTGTGACTTATGTTGTTGATGGATTTTCAAAATTCCAAATGTTTTTGAAGCCTTGGACCGTTGGGCGAAATATATATTCCCAGATTTTTTAAATTCGACCACACCCCCCCGATATTGAGGTCATAAGGTCAACAAGCGAGATACATTTTTCCAACTAGTTATTTCAGTTTAAAATGGATGTATAATGGCTCGGTTACCAATTTTTGGCGAAATCACGGCGAATTGTAGGGTCATCAAAGGAGAGCTCAGTAGGTCACACCCCTCTAATATGGGCCGTGGTGGGTGTGGTCGAAAGTGGAAACAAATGAGTAAAATCCGTTTCCACCATGGTTTCACAAATTAACCATCCCTATTTAACGTAATTTTGACCGTGTTATCCACCTCAACACAATGACCTTATGTTGTATGACCATGGGGGCAGGGGGTGTGGCTATCAGCGCTTTTGTATCAACTTGATCAATACCTGGCATGCGCCATATCATTTTTCTCAGCGTGCCGAGGTGATTACGATGCAATACTTCAAATTTGGAAACCACACCCCCAGTGGGTGTGGTTCCCGGCGACTTTTCCAATCCTTTGCAGATAGGTCATGTAGCATATCATTTTTCTCAGCCAACTGAACAGATTACGATGCAATACTTCAAATTTGGAAACCACACCCCCAGTGGGTGTAGTTCCCAGCGACTTCTACAATCCCTTGCAGATAGCTCATGTAGCATATCATTTTTCTCAGCGGACCGAGGAGATTACGATGCAATACTTCGAATCTGGAAACCACACCCCCTGTGGGTATTGTTCGGCGTGATTTTCAGATCATTCGCATATAAGGCATGTAGCATATCATTTTTCTCAGCGAACTGCATGGATTCTGATTTGATACTTACAATCTCATAACCACACCCCCTGTGTGGTTGTGGTGTTTGGCAGCTTTTCTCGTCCAGTAAATTCGGGCTGTCAATGTGCCAATTGACACGTCGACATATCATAATTGTCATAAATTTCAAATATAACTGACATTTAAAACGTGTCAATGTAAGTATTTGTCAAATTTGGTGACACATTGACATTGACATGTTGGATATTTTTGACATTTTCACAAATCTGTCCTTCTGGCAACAATGAGTTAACTATGTGGCGGAAATTTTAGGACCATACTTTTATCCTTTTTTTCCGTTTCAGGGTAAAAATTCATGTGGTATTTAATACGAACGATCTTGTGTAACAAATGACGAAGTCCTTGCATGTGGCAACGCAAAAGCATGGATTGGACTGTCAGCAAGACATTGCGTTGCCACATGCAAGAATTTTTACTCTCAAACGGAAAAAAAGGATAAAAGTATGGTCCTAAAATTTCCGCCACATACAGTATCATGCATATATGATGATACAGTGTTTTCTACAAAATTCAAATTGTTGGTTCTCCAGAACAGCTTATTATTTTAATCTAATTTGTACACCATTTATTCACAGTGGCTATGAGTACATATGTGCATAATTTTGAGTTAATTGAATGGAAACTGAACTTTCTATGAACATTTGAGTCTCGAAAAACGTAAATTGCATCGTGCATAAGTGTTGATACAGCCACGTCATCCCCTTCGATATTTTGTGTGACCACCGTTAGCCCCAATACCTGCTTGAATGCGCCTCGACATGGACTCCACTAACCCTTTGGTAACATTTTGACCAATGTTTGCCCATTCTTCTGTGATCACTACTTTTAGGGATACAAGGTTACTGGGTTTCGGTTCCGCGATCCGACGCTTCAGTGCTAACCAGAGGTTTTCAACGGGGTTGAGGTCAAGACACTGGGTAACCCAATCTAACGTGTTTATCTTAGTCTCCTTCAGCCATTTGCGGATGATTTTGGCTTTATGTTTTGGATCCGACAGACCTTTTTAAACAGACCTTTTTAAAGCGTAATCTTAGACCCACTACGAAACATGGTGGAGGTGAACCAATCAATGGTTTATTCGCTCAAAAGATTAGGTCTAAAAAACCGTTAATTTTGCATGAAGAGTCATGGCATGGGGTAGTATAGCTTGGAAAGGTGTCGGGACACTGGAATTTATCGACGGTGTCATGACTAAGGAGGTTTACCTGGATTTGTTAAAAATAAATATCCGCCAGTCTGCTACATAAGTTGAATTGGCTCGCAAATTCATATTCAAACAGGACGGAAATCCAAAACATAAAGCCAAAATCATCCGCAAATGGCTGAAGGAGACTAAGATAAACACGTTAGATTGGGTTACCCAGTGTCTTGACCTCAACCCCGTTGAAAACCTCTGGTTAGCACTGAAGCGTCGGATCGCGGAACCGAAACCCAGTAACCTTGTATCCCTAAAAGTAGTGATCACAGAAGAATGGGCAAACATTGGTCAAAATGTTACCAAAGGGTTAGTGGAGTCCATGTCGAGGCGCATTCAAGCAGGTATTGGGGCTAACGGTGGTCACACAAAATATCGAAGGGGATGACGTGGCTGTATCAACACTTATGCACGATGCAATTTACGTTTTTCGAGACTCAAATGTTCATAGAAAGTTCAGTTTCCATTCAATTAACTCAAAATTATGCACATATGTACTCATAGCCACTGTGAATAAATGGTGTACAAATTAGATTAAAATAATAAGCTGTTCTGGAGAACCAACAATTTGAATTTTGTAGAAAACACTGTATCATCATATATGCATGATACTGTATGTGGCGGAAATTTTAGGACCATACTTTTATCCTTTTTTTCCGTTTGAGAGTAAAAATTCTTGCATGTGGCAACGCAATGTCTTGCTGACAGTCCAATCCATGCTTTTGCGTTGCCACATGCAAGGACTTCGTCATTTGTTACACAAGATCGTTCGTATTAAATACCACATGAATTTTTACCCTGAAACGGAAAAAAAGGATAAAAGTATGGTCCTAAAATTTCCGCCACATAGTTAACTCATTGTTGCCAGAAGGACAGATTTGTGAAAATGTCAAAAATATCCAACATGTCAATGTCAATGTGTCACCAAATTTGACAAATACTTACATTGACACGTTTTAAATGTCAGTTATATTTGAAATTTATGACAATTATGATATGTCGACGTGTCAATTGGCACATTGACAGCCCGAATTTACTGGACGAGAAAAGCTGCCAAACACCACAACCACACAGGGGGTGTGGTTATGAGATTGTAAGTATCAAATCAGAATCCATGCAGTTCGCTGAGAAAAATGATATGCTACATGCCTTATATGCGAATGATCTGAAAATCACGCCGAACAATACCCACAGGGGGTGTGGTTTCCAGATTCGAAGTATTGCATCGTAATCTCCTCGGTCCGCTGAGAAAAATGATATGCTACATGAGCTATCTGCAAGGGATTGTAGAAGTCGCTGGGAACTACACCCACTGGGGGTGTGGTTTCCAAATTTGAAGTATTGCATCGTAATCTGTTCAGTTGGCTGAGAAAAATGATATGCTACATGACCTATCTGCAAAGGATTGGAAAAGTCGCCGGGAACCACACCCACTGGGGGTGTGGTTTCCAAATTTGAAGTATTGCATCGTAATCACCTCGGCACGCTGAGAAAAATGATATGGCGCATGCCAGGTATTGATCAAGTTGATACAAAAGCGCTGATAGCCACACCCCCTGCCCCCATGGTCATACAACATAAGGTCATTGTGTTGAGGTGGATAACACGGTCAAAATTACGTTAAATAGGGATGGTTAATTTGTGAAACCATGGTGGAAACGGATTTTACTCATTTGTTTCCACTTTCGACCACACCCACCACGGCCCATATTAGAGGGGTGTGACCTACTGAGCTCTCCTTTGATGACCCTACAATTCGCCGTGATTTCGCCAAAAATTGGTAACCGAGCCATTATACATCCATTTTAAACTGAAATAACTAGTTGGAAAAATGTATCTCGCTTGTTGACCTTATGACCTCAATATCGGGGGGGTGTGGTCGAATTTAAAAAATCTGGGAATATATATTTCGCCCAACGGTCCAAGGCTTCAAAAACATTTGGAATTTTGAAAATCCATCAACAACATAAGTCACAAGAAATTTTCAAAATCTTGCATGTTTTTATTTATGGCCAAGTTCTATTGACTTTTGACCTCGGTTGGAGGTCAAACCAGTGAAAATCTGGGGTCGGAGGTATGGAGACTTTTGTTCAGCACATCGAAGTCTACAACATATCAAAAATTCAGAAAATTCGACGGCAGGCAGGTTTCCCATAAGAAGGGTGCCTCCTCCTTTCTAAGAATGTATAAGCATCTAAACCAATATTTTAAAATAGATTTTATCCGGATAGGTAATCAACTACGGGGCGACTCTGACCTCATTGAAAGCGCACAATCGAAACGGTATCCTTGACGATGTCGTGCTTGGGTTTGACTCGATTGAGGGTTACTTGGAAAATACGACGCCCTACTTTCGCGGAACTATTGGGCGTACGGCGGGGCGCATAGCGAAAGGCCACTTTACTCTGGATGGAACAGATTATCAGTTGAGCATCAACAATGGGGAGAATCATTTACACGGAGGTTTTATTGGATTCGATAAGGCAAATAAATCAAGCGCTGAAAATTTTAATACAAAATATTATTGAATGTAATGGACGATTTTTTGAGCTATGGGACTTTTTAAAGAAAAATGGAAGGGCTATAATTAAAATTGTTTAAAATTATAACCTCAAAGCAACTAAAATGTATTTTAATTATATTGTGCATTATGCAATTAAAAGCTTGTAAGATCAAGTATTTCCTACTAGATAGGGTTTGATCTTATCTTATCTTAAAATGTAATGGACTGACTAATGGAATGAATAAATCCTTATTATTATTATTATTATAAATAAATAATCTTAAGCAGGGCGAAATGTTTTTAAAATCCTGAAATTCCCTGATTTCAGAAAATGTGGGAACCTTCCATCTCCGGTGGTCGCGTGGTGTTCAGCTATCACTCCACTGATGGCGCGGAAGGCTATCCTGGCGACCTGTTCACCCAAGTTACCTTCCAGCTGACGACATTCAATCAGCTGATCATTGAGTATCAAGCCATAGTGTCGAAACCGTGTCCAGTCGGATACACGAATCATACATATTTCAATCTCGCGGGACACGTAAGTGGTTCAATTAATTTTAAATTAATTGGTACGCAATTATCTATAATTTCAGTACATATTTTCAGCAAAATGGCGACAAAAAATTAGCCGGACATTTTATTACCATTAATGCAGATGATATCACCCCGGTTAATCCGGTGGACTTGATAATTACAGGTAAGTACATCCTAACAATTTCATAGAGCTACATACATAACATAACTTGATAGAATTGAGTTTGTTACCACATCGTATAATTCTCGTCATTTGTAACAATTCGCTGCCGGTATAAGACTTTGTTAGTAACTCATAGCCGTATAGGGTAATAATAATTCCCGTAGTCATTACACATATATAGACACCGGCTGGTGATAATAGCTTACGAACTAATTCACAGTATATGCACATTTGCACAATTTTCGCTTAATTAATTTACCCCAGCATTTCTAATATCAAAAAACTTCATATATGTAAGGATGGGATAATTGAGAGATTAAACAGGTGTAATTGTGACTGTAAGTTTCATACTAGAGGGATCTCCAGTAATAGGTTGATAACCAAAATTACAATCAAAAAGAATTACCCTTGCGCAATTTCTCTAATAATGATAACAACGCATGACTATTATTCAGGCGAGATTGCTCCCGTTGAAGGGACACGATTCGACCTTCGTGGGAATCCAGACCTGCACGCCTTGCTGCAACAATATCCGGAAGGTTACGACATAAATTACTGCCTCAACATGGGAGATCAACAAGTCTATAATGCCCGGTTGGTTTGAAAATGTTTAAAATAAACCGTAGTAACGTTAGAAGTAGCTCACCCTGTCATAATGATTGAGACAGAACTTTGCACCGAAGGGTCGGAATAAGCCGACAAAATAGATCATAACTCGTATATATTCTTGCACCCATGGTGCAACAAAAACGGCTAGCCGTTGCACCATTACTGCAGCATTAGCGACCATCCGGGATACATAATTTTGAAAACTTTGTCAAAATTGTATGACCATTTCTCCCGGATATTTTGCACTATTGGTGCGTTTTGCATCCCTTGTCTCAATTATTTCGCATCATTTTGTGTTACCGATTGTTAGATATCAACGGTGCTATTAATTTATTAAAAAATTCGATTCGGTTTGTTCAGTACCAATGGTGCGCCTAACTTATTTTTAATTAGCATCAATTGATGCAAAAAACTCGTGAACAGACAGACAGACGGACGGACGGACAGACGGACTAGAGGAATTCAATAGCTCTCATGCTACGCAGGGTGAGCTAATAATGGAAAATAAGCGATGAAAATAGATACATAATTTTAACCTAATATCGACTCTGAGCTAGCTCTCCTGAAAATGCCAAGATTGTTTAACTGCTACTGCCAGTTATTCTGTACTTCTGGTGCGCTTTGCATCGATTGTCCCAATTGTTTTGTACCATACAAAATAGACAACCTAGATATGTAATTTTGATAGAATTATGCACCAATGGTGGAAAATAAGCGGAAAAAATTGTTAGCCAATTTTGACATAGATTATTGCATACCAATTGGGCTACTAATTTGGGTCAAAATGGTTTTGGGACTTATTAATTAGCATCAATTGATGCAAAAAACTCGTGAACAGACAGACAGACAGACAGACAGACGGACAGACGGACAAGAGGAATTCAATAGCTCTCATGCTACGCAGGGTGAGCTAATAATCTATTATTTTACGAAAACAATATAAAATTGTTTGTTAGTATGGAAGATTCCGAGTCTGGGCGTGTCATGCTCTTGACGACTGATCAACCAGGGATGCAACTCTTTACGGCGAACGGTTTTCCAGAAGAGGGCGCGCCACCCATTGTTGGAAAAGATGGCGCCAACTATTTCAAACATGGCGCGTTCTGCTTTGAAGCTCAAAACTATCCGGATGCTGTTAATCACGTAACCAAACATTTTCTCAAACGAGTTTTACTAAAATTATTTAGATTGATAAGTACTATTCAAAATGTAAATATATGTAGGCCCATTTTCCAACCGCAATTCTTCGTCCGGGTAACATCCATCAACACAGGACGATCTATGCGTTCGCCACAATGCAAAAGTGATGCATATTTTCATCCAAATTCACTACCATATTTCCAAAACGACATATACCGAAAACTAAATATTTATTTTGGCTCCAAGAATAAATTCTAAAATTTATTTAGCTTATAAATTGTGATCGATGAATAAGAATTTTCTTGTTTGAGTTCAGATTTTTATTCATACTTGATGCAAACGTACATATTACGGACATAAATACGTAGACGTACCATGCATGAAATTATCCTAATAATTTCATATAGATTAGAACAATGTTAAGCAAGATTGAGTGGAATTGCTAAAACAAAATTTAGCAATATTTAGCAATATTTATTACATTCAGGGTATTTTGAATACGTATGAAAGGATATGTATATCTATCTACCGTAGAATTATATTTATAAATATTATCTATGAACATTATACATGTAATAGGCTATAGCTAAAGTCAAATCTTGAATCATTTAATACATATTTTCTAATGAATTGTGTTTGTCTTGCTTCCGCTTATCAAGCAGAAATGATACCACGAGTTAAAAATAATTAAATACAAACTTAATATTGGATTGTCTAAAATTGGAATTTGAAACCTTTAAGAAATTAATCCGATGGGTACAAAGAACTCAAGGCACGTGGGAGAATTAAGTCGATGTTTTAAAATTGATTACCAATATTTGATCATTTACAATTATTAATTCCCCTTATATAAACCCCAAATTAAAATGTCATCAACAAGTTGCTAACCTGTTCAATCATGAACATCAAAATTTTCGACTTGACTTCCTGCGTCATCGAGGAGAACCTGGCCGTTCCTAAGCCAACCGGGATCGATAAAAATTTAAGATATTTCACCTCCCTCAAATATAATTTATTCTCATGACGCCCCATCCTCCTAAGAATTCCAATCGTCCCAAAATGCCTCAACACTTTAACCGACACCATGCAAAGGTTTCCCAACATGTCGAGAATGATTTTTGCCCAGATTACGGAATTCACACTAACGAAGAGATTAAATCCCGTGAAATACGATTCATTAACGGAATGCAGTCTCACGGCGATAAACATGCAGCCGGAAATGCCTATCGTGGCGGCCAAAAGCGCCAAAGTTGCCGTTGCTTCATCCAAACTGTGAAAAATGATCATCAATACCTTGTAAAATTTCAAATGGCGTCTGAACCCTTGAAGAATAATTTTTCTCCAAAATCTATCCACTAGTGACGAGATGCTCGTCAAAAGCGAAATTATCACGTTACCCCAAACCAATACAATTGAAATCCCGAATAATATGATCCTCATGGCTTCGTACGCGAATACGGTTACAGAGACTACTCTTGTTACGAACATTCCAAAGGTGAAAAGGGTCTCGGAATTTAGGGCGAAAAGAAGTAGAATTTTTCGGAGGGTAGGGAACATTGAGAGGATAAATTCAAAAAAAGGGAGGAGCGGGTCAAAGTTGAGGTACGTTATGAAAATGGTGCCAATCGGGGTGAAAATGTAGAACGCCCAGATGGTCATCTTTGCGATGTAGAAGAGTCCTTTTTCCGTGGTAGAGCGCGGTTTTATCTTTTTTGTTGAATTGTAATCTGGGTAAAAACATAGATCAAAATATCCCGCTGATTTTTAGTTTAATTGGAACGTCCATACATTACTTCATCAAAAACTGCGATTTTTAGGTGAGCAGACACCCTATTCGTATGAAGCGTAACACATGTATCCGAACCAAAATCACCCACGCAACTTTCTGATGACGTAATATACACGCGTTCCCAAATACCGATTTACTTACCTGTTCGTAACTCGGACTCGTGCCGGAATCCTTCATTGAACACGGCGATGAACTCACTTCTGTGGACGAGGAACCACAAGGTGTAGAAGACGAGGCCACAAAAGCATATGATGCTTAGCAAGGTCCACGCACAAATTCTTGGATCCCCCCTGGGATTGGGGACCCTTGGAATTCTATCTAAAAGTGAAAAAACGAAGAGGAAAATCGCCGCGCTGAAAAGAAACGCGGGAAAGAGGGAGAGCGGCAGATCAAATCGTTGCCTAACTTTGCTGAGCCTGATTCCGCTCCCATTTTTGACACTTAATATTTCAAGGGGAGGTTTATACAGGAAAGGATAATGGTCAAAGTATACAGTTTGTAGGGTGAGTATCACTTTGAAGTAGGAGGATAGCATATTTTCTCAATTTTGATCAGAAATTTGGAAATTTTATCGTAGCACGTTGGTAAAGCAGAGAAGGGTTTGAGAAAAATTTGAGGCTTGCACGTACACCTTAACTCCTGGCGATTAAATTGGAAAACTTGATTCAAATCGGTCAACATAAATTTTTAAAATTGAAGAAAATTAAAGACTCACATAAATACACTGCTGCCAGAAAATTTAATACGTATCGGTCTTCTTAAAGTGTGAGTTACAATTCTAACCATGAATTGGAACATTTCATTTCATTATTGCTGAAAGGTTGGCAGTGCGAAATTGGTTTTTTGGACTCTATGCAATTCGATATTTGCAAGTTCTACTTTCCACATTTACGTTATCGTAAATTTTTAATGTTATTGGTTTCACTTTTTGAAGATATGTATGTGGTTGCTATTTATTTGAAGTCTAATTTGTCGCACAAAACATGTTTTCTGTTTATGACTAGAGTTGACTTTTCACTAAATGAAAAAAAAATGATATTTTCAATCTTGATGGTTATGGAACACGTGAAATTAAAATTAGGATTGTTCAACCATTTACTCGTATATTTATAGAAGGTGAGCAATAAAGAATGCAAAGCTTCTACAGATGTATAATTATATGTGAAAACGAAGAATCTCACTATGCACTTATTAAGAATAACACGGTTTCTTGACCATCATTAATATCCACAACAACCCGAAAATCTGTGGTCCAAATGGTTCAACGCCTGAGTACAAAATTATATGCGGAACAGTTCGGAACACAAAAATGATCCTCACTGTGAGTTTTGGAGATGGATTAATAAACAATCTGGAGAAAACAGCATGGTTATATTGGTAGCTCGGATTCTCTAAATCTTTTTAAGTATTATAATACCTCATTGAATTATAGTCTTTGGCAAATCTGACAGTAAATACTTATGTATATCTGCATGAGTTTATCTGCATATGTTTTCGTATGTACTATGCGCTAAATACTCTGGATTAATAAATTGCATGTTGATGGATCATTTACAACATATTTACTTATTTTTTCCTTCCCTACCTTCGAAAATTTGAGTAATATGCATCCTTCGGTTGAATAAATCGAAACAGGTGACCCTGAATGAGCTAAATTTATTGCATGTTGTTATTAGGAAACATTTGTTCGGTTAGAACATTTGTGTTTCTTGGAATTCTTACGGCTTAAATTTGAAATAAGCAAAATTTCTTACGTAAAGTCTAGCTAAATATCGAAGGATAAGTAACTTGAATTTCATATGTATGTATGTAGTTGTTTTTACGATCTTTTTATGGAAATATCATATCTATCCGGCTGTCCGTATCTACGATATCTTTAGAATGCATTTGAATTTCGACATGAAGTTTTTGCCAACTTGTTTCTAATTTTAGAAGTACGGATGAATTCGAAGATGGTCGTTGTAGGTCATAACGTCACGGCGATGAGATATACAATCACAGATATCGAATTTTATGTTTTGATGGTTTGAGACATAGTTTTGGGTGGGAATTTCAAAAATCGACATAGTTTCGACGTGCCATGACCGTATCGCTTTACCCCTTTGCTACATTTCGTTTGCAACGTCTTATTTATAGTTAACATTCACTGGCTCTGCCCTACCTAACAATAAAAAAATTACGTATAATAAACCAGGATAATTAATGACAGACCAAAGCCATTACAATTTTAATTACGCAGCTGCACCTGTTTTATGTAATCCAAAATTAGCCCCCGGTTTCTCAATAAATTGGCCATCCTCACGTATTAAAATGTAGTCCGGCTTCTGCTCATGACTTTGTAGCAACATGTTAGCTCAAAATCTTATTACGATCCTTTGTTTCCACTTGTTTGGAAACATCGCCTTGGCCAGCAACGTGACTGACCTGGGTAAACCACTTTACGGGTAAAGATCACTTAATTGTTGCCACTTTACATACCAATTTCGCATTTAGGAGGAACGATCTGCAATCACCTTTGTTTGGGATGACGCTCTACTTCCGTACGAATTCAAACCCGATTTCCCTGCCAAGGATAGGGAATATGTTTATACGAGCGACGAAATACATTTCTGACCGAACTTGCGTCAGGTTTAGAGAGAAGCAAGGACCGGATAGATTTTGGCTGATAGTCGTGCTTGGTGGGTGTTGTGGATCTTGGGGTGGACGACTGAGGTGAGATAATGTAATGTGATGAATGTAAATCTAACATTAAGGGTATTCACAATTATCGTGGTATCCATAGAATCGCAAAATAGTTTACAGAAAAAACCAGGGGTCAAGGTTCATAAAAATCGTAAAGTGATTTTTAATGACAAAATATTACCCCTCTGACAAGATTACTTAACCGTCGCAACTTGTGTATTTTACGATACGAAGAATACTAAGGACACGAATGAGAATACTCTTATTATACTTAAACCTGTTGACATTTTTATTTATCAGAACACAAGAGGGCAAAGGTCAAGAAATCACATTCAGTAGTGGACTGATCCTCCCCTTTTATCTTCACGAACTCGGCCACGCGCTCGGATTCCCACACGAGCAGGACAGAATGGACCGGGATGACTACATTTATTGGGATAAAAATAAGAAAGACTGCAAAGGTGATGATTTTGGAGGAAAAGCGGGCAACCTGGACCAAGCCGCGTTGGAAATTCGGTTCGACTATGTCAGCCTAATGGCCGATTGGACAGAGTGCTATTGGGCGAAGCCTCCAATGCCGAAGGATATTCCGCTAGGTGGCGGCAGTAGTGATCCCGATCAAAACTACAGAGTGGGAACCAGTGGGAGAATGTGACTCCCATATAGAATTATATGATCAAGTTGGATCAACTCAACTTCCCAATATGATATGAGCCGCAGAAAATCAGATTGGAAAATTATCGTTGAATGGGAGGTTTGTTCCCATATGGAAGTACCGAAAAAAATCATATATAAGATTTACACGATGAAACTTTCCATTTACCAATATGAGCAATGAATGGAAATCATATACGAACTTAGTAACCAAAATGTTCCCGAATTTCGTATTGGCACAACTATAAACTCCCATATGGCAATTTCTAAGAAATCATACTTGAGGTAAACATGATATAAATTTCTTTTTGCCAATATGACTAGCAAGTGAAAGTCATATAGGATCTTTTTGCATAAAAGTATTTAAAATTGCATATTGATGCAACTACTAACGACTTTTCCACTACATACATTTATTATTTCTTGACCAGGCACATAATTTTTAAAATAGTCATTTAGACCGACTACTTGTTTTTGCTTTACAATACCATATTTAGGAAAATTTGAGCGTTCAAACAAATTGTTGGATTTCCACTTGGAATTTAGGCACAGACAACCAATTTGAAATTCATTGACAAACTTGTTTACAATTTGTACTGCAACTCCATTTGCGCATTTAACATAGTTTAAAAGTTTACCATTAAAGGATTCGAATTGAAAAGCTGAACTATTCCACAAAGGACCCCAATTTTTCACTGTATCGCATAAGTGATCCAACTGGTGCACATTAAAACTGTAAAATTCTACACCGTAAAGAGTACCCCCTTGTTTTAAAAAATTATTAATTAAAATCTCACTTTCATCAATATCATTAGTAGATACTGTTGGCTTGGACAATAGAAATATGCTTCGAGAAAGAAGTGAAAAATGTTCTAAGTAACATGATGGTAAAATCTTTTCTAAGACAATCGGAACAATACATAACCATGTCCGCCATTCAGAAGCTTTCCAGTGAACTCGGGTCTCAATTGATCTACTTACCCTAACAATCTCATGGGGAACCTTTATTTTTAATAAATGCGTGTCAATTAATGAAATCTCTTTGCCAATGTACCAGTCCGTTTTTTTCTCATTCATCCATTTGTTTGTTAATGCTCTAACTATTCCAAGAAAAACACAATGCATGTAATCAACACTAAATCCATTGACTATATCAAAATTCACCAATTTAAGCAACGGACTTTCTACCTTTTGTCCTTTTTTAAACTTTCCATTCTTAGCATTTTGTGCATACACCTCAGACTCTCTTAACTTCCAACCTGTGCTTTTACTCATTTCGTACACGCGACAATGACCTCTTCCTTTCTCAATGGAAATACCTGGATTCCTACACCAATTGCACCCGTGTTTACCGTTAAACTGCTTATGACCCTGCAACATAGCCCTTGCTGGGGCGTCTACAGAGCATTGTATAAAAAAAACCTTGCTATGCATTGATAAGCCTTCTGATGTTTTCCAGACAATAGGAACATCACCCAGAGAATTCATTTCATTTACAATTCGTGGGAGGAAAATACTAATATTCGGCTTCGAGCTCCCGAACCATATACCACCCATTAAAACGAATTTTTTCCTCAAATAAAATGGCAAATCATTGACTGAAATAAGAACGGGCCAAATTGAATAATTACTACTATTAAAAAGTGGAACACCGTCTGTATTAAAAGTGCAAGTAATATCGTTTGAAGATTTTTTCACTTTTTGAAATCCTAGTCCTGATTTAACGCAACCATATGAAAATTTACTTTCAACATTACGCAGGGATTTTAATAATGCCTCCGTTACTGTTGAGTTCTCTAAAAGTGTTAAGAGCTGCTTTCTAATATCCATTAAGACAAAGAAATTCCCCTTCTTGTATACATCGGTCTTACTATAGAGTGATAAGCAGGAGGGACATTTTAATTCGACATCTAAAATTAATTCGCAGGATGGGCAATATGGCACTTTTTGAAACCAATTCGATTCAAGTGCGACTTCTTTCATAAGATTATGATAAGACCTAGGATAATTGACGTCGGTGGGGACATGACGGCTGAAGAGTTTCAAAATATCTTCGGTACATCTCTTAGTTAAGTTGTGCTTCTGCTGGAGGCGTAGAATTCCATAAATGCTTTCCTCTTTGGAAATGTTGCAACAAGGATGAAGCGGTGGAGCCTAAAATTATAATGACAAAATTAAGAATATTATTAAGAAGTAAATAAATTTTATTTATTCAACTGGGACTTATTAATTTTTAGAAATTACTTCATTATCGACATGAACTAATTCTTCACAGCAATCACTGGAGGTTTCTAATGGCGGAGTGATATCGTCGTCACTGTCGTCAATGCTGGATAAATCCCACTCCGGCAATTTAAATAGTTCCACAGCGTCTAATACCAGGCAGAAACATTAATTTTTGTTATATTTTGAAATTAGTTATCTTAATTACTCACTGTCTGAATTAGGAAGTAATTCACTGGTTAAGTCACTGATCTTGGTCTGCTTCTGACTGTCGTTATCGTCCTCACTGTCACTCAGAATTTCGTGACGTTTCCGCTTTAAATTTAATTGTTGAACCTAAATATATTTGCGAAAATTATTTATATTTGTAAGTCACAAGAAACTATAAAATTGACACTGTACAGGCCAATCAAACACGTGATATTACCTTCACATTTAATGTATGCTGTTTATTATAAGATAACTTCTGCCTTTTAGATATTTTCGAAAAAGTAGCTTGAAAAGTATTCATCTTGCTAAATACTTGATGATTACTTTTAAACAAAACCAGATGAATGAGAAACGGAATTGAGATTTTTTAACCGCTGGTTTTAAACTGAGCCGCACTGGCAGAGCACTTCGTCACTGTTTCTTACTAAACCTCTCTGCCCAAGTTTAATTTAAATTAATAAACTTTAAAAACCAAACTTAGCTGTCTTAGCAAGACTTTTAAATTAACTTAAAGTGGACGAATAATGTCGCATGTTGTCGTGCACTGGGAAAAGGAGAAATCCTATTCATGCGTTAAATTAAAAAAAGTTATTAAGGGAGACTGCGGTGTGGACGATCTGCTTGATAAGTCTTTCGACGTACAATGGGGTGGGGACAAAGAGAAGGGGAAGATAATTGGAATAGGTAAGTAATTTAGTAATGTGTCTCATCATTTTTAAATTGCAATGGTATCTGTGATCTCTTTTATTTCTTATTTTAATTATAGGTTCACGAAAAGACATGAAAATACTGGAAGGAGAAAAGGCACAAGAAGCTGCAGATATGTCATTTTATGAACATAATGGAGAAGAGGGAGTGGAAGAAGGTCCGCCACCGGAAGGACACTCCCAACTTGATGGTGGGACTGAAATTTTCGAAGCTGAAGTGCGAAACTCTGATGAAGGAAATTTTTCAGCTAGTCTCGTCCTTGCTCCTGGATCAGGTTCTCGTGAGGTGACGAAGAACGTATAATTTATAATATTATATTAGTAAAGTCGTCTATTGTTTTTTTTTGTTATTTTAGGTTGAGGTTAATCACGGACGGCACGACGCGGACGTGATTCAACTTCAAGAGCGCTTGATTGAGAAGGACAAAGAAATTGCAATGCTCCAGGCAGAGAATTTGTCGTTGAGAACTACAGTTAAGCAACTAAAACGTAAAACTTCAATGATTAAGTTTATTTTTGATATGCAATCGTTTTTCACATTCCAGGAATTAAATTTATTTCATTTTCCAGGTCTTATAAAGAAAACCGGTGTTTCTAACGAGGAATCCCAAGATAGAGTCGAATTGGCCCATGGAATAAGTTTGGACAAGTCCCTCGTTGAACTCACCCAGATAAGCTATTCCTCTCGTCCGTCACTATTTTTTAGAAAATTGCTGTTCGAAGGTGGATTATTCCAACTTGAAGAAATCGCTGGTTCATCCATGACTGGTAAATCCTCGCCACTTTTCCGACATCTAACCCGGCCAGCATTGGATCCAGTACGATTTGGAGTATTGAAAGGTAAACAGCTACTACTTAATGGTGTGTGTTATGTAATTATGTTTAATGTACTCTAATTATTTCAGATTTTAAAATCAAATCTTGTGGAATAAAAACCAACACACTGGAGATGGTTGAGTTTGAGCAAAAACTGAGAAACATCCCTGGCGATGCAAGAAAACGACTAGCAGCAGTGAACAATTCATAATATTAATGTGCTCAGAATATCTATTACAATGCTTTCTTTAAACGTTAATTACGGCTAAATAAATTTAAAATTAAATGAATTTGCCAATATGAATAGGTTTTATTTTGCATGCTGGAAAATTCCATTTTTGCATATCTGAATATGAGACCAATAGGAAATGCATTTAAATTCCCAAATGATTTGTCCGATTACAATCTGATCTTCTAAATTATTCCCATTGGATTATGTAGTCTGAAATCTACCTCACTTTCCAACTACCTCTCCCATCTGCCTTGCCAGTTGGAATTAATGGGTCAGTTTTGCTCGGGATGATAGGACCCTTAGCTTGCTGGATATTGAGAAGATCAACGCTATTTATGACTGTGGTGGTAAGTAAAGTTAAGAATTACGTCACTTTTGGAAAATCGGTATTAAAACAATACCAAGCGGTATTGTCCCTCTGTCCCCACGCTTCCGCGACCACTGGTTTCATGCGTTAATGGATATCTAGGTTCACTATAATAGAGACAACTTAAATTTTCGAAATTAAATTTTTTTGGCCTCATGTAAGAACGTTTGCCTGTTAACCTCTCAGATTTTTTTGTTTTTATTTTCTTGAACGAACAAAAGGTGGGACATAAGTCTGAAATGACGCATTTATGCTGATAGGTTGCTATGGATACCGATTCAGGAAAATTGAACAGCTATCTTCGTACCAGGATCCATACCCGGCCGGATATGAGTTGGACAAAAACATCTTTTACGTCTGCAGAATTTATCATGATGGCCATCTCCTCATCGGGAAGTCACTTCCGGACGATAACAAATGCTGGATTGGGTACAATGGGGCTGAAATAGAATTTAAAGAGAAGTTCGATGTGCTCACAAATCCGAATGGGAGAGCAAACCTGAGATGGATTAGGAGGCCCGATAACTTTGCAATTCCGAAGGGTGCCATTAAAGGCGGGAGAACGAAGGACCGAGAAAATATTTATGTTGGGAAATGCCTCCAAAAAGTTGGGAACGAACAGACCCTGATACCCGGGTATTTTCTGGAGAGTAATCCTCGCGAACTGCGTATTCCGTTTGGTGGTTTGATGCGAGGATGTAATGATTTTGACATACTTGTTTGCGGGTACTGATGCATATGTAAATATATATCCTCGCTTTCCTGAGTGGATTTGATTTGATGCTATATTAAATATGTATCTGAATATTGAATCTGCAGTTGTTAGGGAAGATTATTTTTTTATTGTCTCTATAATATTTTATGTATGAACTTAACCTGGCTAAGTAAATTTACATGCATATCTAAATTATGGCAGCAAAGTTAGACATTGTGTATAACCACATTCCCCTGCATGACTGACATTGAATCGCGAAGAAGGGGGCAGGTAAAATCATGTTTCCAAAAATCGGCCAAAAAATGACACCTGATTTTTATGACGAAAATGTCATTTTAAAATCATACTTCATATTTTGATACGGTAATAAAAACGCGAAATTTGTCGATTTTACAAAACAAAAACGAAATCAATAATTTTTAATACTTTTTAAATACTTCGCATTTAATTCTGCAAGCTAAATTAAGAATTAGAAAAGGACATGTGTACGTATGTAAGTCTATGAGAAAAAGTAAACAAAAGCCATTCAGTCATATAAACGAAGAACATTAAATGCATACGCTTATTGCAATTTCTTCTTTATTTCTTCCTGGTTTACCACATTTGCTCTATAAATACATAAGTATGTGGGCTTATTGAAACGTGTGTATGTACTCTCATTTTTTTCACGATACGATCCTCGACGTCATAACTCTCATTACTAATAGCATTGCAGTGGTGACGTCGAGGGTCGTATCGTGAGTAAACGGACTGTATGTATAGAAAATATGTATGTATTTATTTATTTAAATACGTATTAATAAGAGAACTACTTAAAATATGTATTACAAGGTATCGAACCACAACATTTCACAAGCAGCGCACAAATTTATCGTTATCAATCCAAAGTTCACACTGTGAATTCACAACTTATTCAGTTCCCTATTCAGTGGGAACTTGACACAAATATGTATACACAAACCAGTTTTAGCCACGATCTCGCCGAAGTCAAAAACATAGTCTCAATTTAGCCTCGACAATCGACAATCGCATTTTTATCCAAATCTCGAGAAATTTCCAGAAACTATGAAGCCCATTCTTATCTTGGGCATTTCCTTTGTTGTTTTAATTGGGGCAGGTAAAGACTGAATTTAAACTTTTCATCATTTCTAAATTGATTATCCAGTTTAATAAATACTCTCATTTCATGAAGGTTTGAACTTCACGGCACGAAACTACGACACTGTGCGTCTCAAATTCCCTCAAATAATGCTGCCGGGGAACTTTGAGACTGACTATTGTAGTTTCTCAGAATTCCCAATTTCTGTAAATGTTCAAACTTGCATGGAACGAGAGTACATACTAATACATACATACTAATTTAAAAATTCATCAATTATTTTTTTAAGTTTAAAAAAATTGAAACCGACTTCTTTCAGCTCCCAAATCACCAGTCGTGCAAGCGTCAGCTCCTGAATCGATACCGGGCATGCTACCCAAAATGTCCATGATTATCCAAACCTTAGACCAGCTGAGCGTTTTACTGCTCAACCTCCTATCTGACCTACCCTCACAGCTGCCTTTGCGTCAGGCACAGCTGACCATGCTCGCGACTCAACTGTCCACGGGGGTCAAGGTTCTCGACACCACAATTGTTAAGTTCATGGTCACAGCAGCCAGCCCACCGGTCCAACTGTTAAGAGCGTTACTCAACCCGCCGTATGCCTTTGTTGCAAGTTATATACCGTCTCTTAACACGGCCATTGCATCCCTGCAGGCAGAACTGGAACAAGCACTTGAGAATAGAAATATCACATTGGCAGGGCAGTTTGAGAAAGCACTTGGTGGCTTGATCGAAATCGAGGGTACGTTACTAGAGCTTCGCAACATGTTGGCGAATCTATTGGATTCATTGGCGGGAGAGGCGACGACCACGATGGCGGTAGTAGCGAGTACTATCGCTACGGTTCCTTCTACTCAGATAACGTTGGCATCGGGTTAAAAAAATAGCTGGGTTTACATACAAGACTATTAATTTCTGAACTTACAAACTACTTACTTACTTCGTTACTTACATTATATAGATTGATGGTTCATATCCACATTTGCTACAGAGAAATATATGTATACGCATGTATGTACGTACATGCATACATATTTATATAAGTTTAGAGTTACATACATACGTACCAATGTACCTATGCATGTATGAAAATATGATGCAACATCATTACAACGTAACTTAACGTTTTTCTCTTTCCATGAAATTTTACATCTGCGTAAAGGGAAATAGTTTATCGACTCGCGTACGTATGTATGTGCATAGATAAGTAAATATATATGAACATTGATGGGATTAAGTTATCTGCAGAATCTGAGTGTAAGTTTATCTCAAAGTTTGCTGTCGCCAGCAACTTACGTATGTATATATGTACATTACTGTATATCAAATTTCATGCAAACCAGATCTCTTCACATTTTAGTCTAACATCCAACCCCATCGGATGTGGAGCTGGACAAATTTCTGGTTAATAAATGCATAGCAATTTAATGTTAACGAGTGAAGAGAACTAAATTTAAGTGTTGCTTAAAATTCGACGCCCCTAATCAATACATTAATTGGAATGGAGGGAGAATCCCTTCCAGCAAAAACGCACGGGTGTGACGGTGTCCTGTTCGTTTTGAAAGGGAAAAATTGTTCACCTGTCTGTCGCGATGATTATTGCATCGACTTAGCAAAACACACCGATGAGTGGAAGCGAGAAGCCGTAATTCTTAATATTCCTGGCCAAAAAGTGAGTCAAATTTGGTCCGTATTACACTTAGAAATCTAGAATTTCTTCAAATAATACCAAGTGGTTTTCATATATACATACACGCTAAATAAAGTTGAGTAAAATATGCGATGACACAACTGGTAGTGTAAAATTCATCCGACAAAGGTAAAATTTTCTCAAGGTTGGGCGAAAATCCTGTAACGTTGGAGAAATTATAACTAATGTATGTATGTATGTATGTAATGTGGGCATGGCCCATAGAGTTACATTTTTAATTAAATTGAAATATTTTAAATTAAAATATTGATAAATTATTATTATTAGTGGAGTTCCGTGTATAATCATTGAATTATAACTTATGTACATTGGGTAAATTTAACACAGTCATCGCATATTTTACTCAACCTTGGGTAAATTTTAAGCAAATTTTATTTAGAGTGTAACTCTACCAACGTGGTATTGATAAGTAGTACCATGTAGTAAATTTCTCGGTATGTTTTATCATCTCGGCAGTAAATTTTTACGGACCGGCATAATTTTAATTCCAAGCAGTATCAACTTCAATTCCGAGAAATGAATACTGGATGACTTTTACAGGGCATCCTTTAGTACTATTTTGTGGGTATGTACATATGCAAATCTCTTTTCTAATTTTGTAGTATACCATTGGGTCTGGGAAAAATTTGGAGAGTTTGGATGCTGCAAAATATGGACAATTTTTACTATTTCCAAACTACGCGGATGTGACCAAGGAACAATGCAAAATTGAATGCGATACGAGTGGAAATTTTTGGCTGTGTAGTTTGGTAAGTATAACTAAACAGTTCATTTCTAGTGTATGCATGTATATATACATACATGCATACACTAGAAATACACTATAAATTCCTTTATATATAAAGGAATTTATACAGGGAGACCATATTTATGCAGGGAGACGGAGAAACTTTTGTAAACGGGAAGCTATTAGATTCCAAAGACAGACTAAAATTTGGGGATATGTTTTATTTTTCGCTCAATCTCTCAAAATTATGGGACCCAGAACTGGACAAGAGTAAAATTTGGAAACTGTATCGACGAAACGCGTGTGGTAGAGACTTTGCCGTATTCAAATTCAAGGTAAGATAAGCAACATGACGGTAGCATACAATTTTTTCCATGATTGCGTCCTTATTTTGTCTTTGCAAATTAAATTGTGTATGTTACGACACTAAGGATCCCAAGATAATTGTGAATACCCCCTAAATTAATTAACACTTATCATAGATTGCATACTTCCTTTTTTGCAGAGATTGACCCCTAAAGGTAGGACACAACAAGATAATAAGGAAGCAAATCATGAGGACAATGCAAACTCCGAAGATTTTCATGGATCCTCAACTAATCCGAAACTAGTGAAACATCCCATTTTCGATGAAAATTCCATACTCACGAAAATATTTGAATATTTAATCCCCGAAAATAATGACAATCAGCAAAAAGATCTCTTCAACTGTCGACTCGTCTCAAAATCATGGAATGAATCGTCGCTTCTCGTCCTACAGAAAAACCTCGTGCTCAATTTAACCATAACGATGGACAATCTAATCCGTGACCCCAACTCCCTCGCGAATCGCCTTCACTGGAAGACACATCGCATGAAAGGGTTAAAATTTGACGGCATGAAGATCAACATCTGGCCACAGCGGAGCACATACTACATCCGAGATAACGAAGAAAGGGACAAAGCCGTGGTAAAATTTAATCAAGATTTCTCCGCATTTATAAACCACCCGGATTTCCACCCGGTCAAAGTTCTCACCATGAATATCGACTATTTAACCCCGATAAGCACCCTCCTCTCTAAATTCTGTCATTCTCTGGAAGAACTAACCATCCAGATTAACATGATTTGGATAAGAGATGAAAATAAAACAAGATTCCTTGAAACTTTAATATTTCCAAAGTTGAAAAAGTTAACGCTAGAGTTCTGCCAGCAGGAGGAAGGTGACTTGGGCAAAATTCGAGAATCTAAATATCTCGCCCAACTACTCGAAGGTTTCAAAGGAATTGAGCAGCTCGTGTTAAAAAATTATGCCAAACTTCCCTCTGACTTCGGACCGTTTAAGAATCTGAGGAAAATTACGATTTACGGAGGGTGTAATTATAACGTGGAAATTTTCAATTTACTCGATTTCTTAAGCCAGATCGGAACTTTGCCGGCAGATCAGGTACGGTCGTTTAAAGTGGAGATTGATCTTATTGATGTTCAAGTTACTCCGGTAGAAGTGGAGGAAGCGTTGCTTTGTTTCCTACATAATCAGGCGGGAAGTTTGGAAAATTTGGAATTATCCGCACGCTATACTCAGCCCATAAAACTGCCAAGATGCATGCCAAATTTGAAGAAGTTGTGGATTGGTGAGTCATTAAATTGGACAGAATCAGAGTTCATGTGGGGGGCTAAATTAAGTAGCCAAGTGACAAAGAAAAGTAAGGGACACATGTCCGAATTTCGCCCAGATACGTTATCTCTAGTCCTATGGGATGGAGATGAATGTGGTCAAGAATCGTGCCGAACTTGTAATGATACTTTAGCGTTTGGAAGATGGAATCAGGATGAGCGAGAATTTGTTTGCTATATTCCAAACGTGGAGAATATTTGGGCGTGGACGCAATAATTTTATGCTTCCCATTCATTTTGGAAAATGCGACCCTAATAAGATGAATAAAAAGCAGTGCCTGCTGGCTCTCCTCTGTATATTAGTAATTACTTGAATTATCCGTATTTATATGATTTATTTTATTTTACACACTAAAAAAATCACCAAAATTTACTCAAGGTTGAGCAAAATTGCCACCAATGCAACAAGTTGGATAAACGTACTCAAAATTGAGTAAAACTTGTCAAATTTTGCTTATTAGTCGCGCAATCCCAGCCGAATTTTACCCAACAGTTGTATTAGTGGCAATTTTACTCAATCATTTTTACAGTGTATTTACATACATTTAGAAACTAGACATTTTACGGCTTACATACATATATACATATTTACATACTTGGTTTCCAAAATGTGATTTTTTAACCAATTTGTATGGAACGCATTCTGGTATCACTTTAATAAAAGACTCCTTGACCTTATAGCTCAAAAGGGTGGTTCGTATTAAACCGATATAACGAGCGAAATCGTGTGATACGCGATCACCGAAATCATCACAATCCTTGTTTCCTTCCTTACAAAAAAGAACGGTCCCACCTCAATCTTCAACCTACTACAGCTCCTAACTTGTCTACTCATATACTTCGATGCCCCCACGCTAAGTTTCCACACCCTAATAACCTCCCCCGACTCGTGGAAAACATCCCCAAATTGGCGAATGACCCAAAGAACTACCATGATCAAGACGACCATTACGTCTCCGACAAAAAACGTCATCATGAGTGATACCCGTCCCGTCAGCTTGATTAAGATGTACCCGCACACGATGCTTCCTACCAACGTGGTTAAGCAGGCGATTGGTAGCGTGTAGAAAATAAAGTCATTCGTCGCCTTGGCAACTATGGTGAACCGTCTGTAGTGAATGACGTCTTTCTCAAATTGGCGCACTCTACGAAACACATTTACCTCGAAACGGCTGAAATTTCGAATCATCGCTGCCTGACATGTGTGGAAAGCCAGGCCAATCGTGGTGCAAAATATTGCGCACAAAAATAGTACCGTAGTCACGTGCAACCCAACAAAAAATAGGCTGCAGACTCGTAACCAAAATTGCGCATTGGGGGAGAGGAACGTCCATTGGCGGATGATGTGGTACGACGGGTCATCATTTTCAAAAAGGAATGGAAATGTTGCGATCGTAAGTGGGATGGTGATTGAACCAGGAATAAGTGCGTGGAGAAATACACCGACAAGATCGTATCGTGGAGATCGATCACCTGCAAAGATTTTATTGCTGTTTTATTACCAAAATTACATTATTTATTTAATATTGTGCATTTTTTCGCCGGGTTACCTATGCATGTACATATGTACAAACTAATAACGTTGTGGTATGACATGGTACGCAGCTGGAACGATGGGTGCATTTTTTAAGATCAAAATTGTAGAGTGCGAATTGTTTGGTATGAATTGAAAAAAAGTACTGATAAATGGGTTCGTATTGTTTTAGCGTGAGCTGGTAAAAAGTTAGAATATGTGAGTGTGAATTTTTGATTGCAAATGGTTGTGTGCAAATTTGTAAAGAGTGCGAATTATGTTTTTTTGGGTTCGAACTTGTTTGGAGTTCATATTGTGGAGTGCGAATTATTGGGTTCGAATTGTTTAATGCAAAGTGCACATTACCACTTATGAAAATCTTAATATCTTTCACTCACTTGAATTGATCCTTCTTCCATCTTGATCAGCAACTTGTTTCATCCTCCATAGATTTTTCAGTCCTAAGCACATTTCGTCGATTTTGAAAATAAAGCTGAGAATATTTGCGACACAGATTGTTAGAAGGCACTGATAGAAAACGAACATCAACCATGCCGTCACTGTAATATCGGGGTCCTTCTTGTACGCCATTATCTCTTGGAAGATTTTCAGAGGAAGGACAAAACACGACACAAAAACGAGGCCAGATTGCAAATACCATGGAGTTAGTTTCGCCCTCGAAGCTGGCGTCGGTTGTTCTAGTTTTCGATCCCATGTCAAATATTGGTGGTAGATGAAGGTCTCCGTAAAATGAATGAAATGTTGTAAAGCCTCGAACGCAGTGAGACTTGAGATTGAGTGAGCCCAAAATTTTTGAAGCTTATTCATTCTAATTTTTCGAAAATATTGTGCCACAATTCAGGAGAGAATTCTTATTTTGGAAGTGGTTCGCCCCGAGTGGGGAAGGGTCGTGAGGTTGAAAACAAGCCAGGAAAAGTAATTGGTTTTTGCAATTAATTTCTACTCAATCAATATTTATGTACGTACATACGCATGTAGTTTTAAGAATTAATTTCATCGGGTCGACATTGTTTTAAGATTTCTGCGCAGATAAGCAAATTATGAAATGGAAACAATTTTTAGGTTACGTGTATGTACAAATCAGACAATTATTACGGTTGAGTTAGCTACATACATAACTCATCCAGGTAAATTCTTACAAATTACATATTCATCATAGCTATTTGCATACATAGTCATACCAATTTGTTAGCCGTGGATTTCTTATGCTAATTTCTTTTCGCTCTGCAAACTATTATTAGACTTTTTCCAATCAGAAAATATACGAAGTGGATTACATTATTACTTTATATCGTATCATTGTTTTATTTATTACACGGCAATTTCAAACTACATTTTTATGCGTGCATGTACTCATCCTCAGATTAGTAGGTAATGGATTTCTACTAAAATGAAGCATACATATTTCAAAAACACTAGTTCCTCATTTTTATCAACTACTGTTCATGTGAAAAAAGTGTGGCCTTCGCCGAGCCAAATTTCTCTAAAAGGTTACCTGGCAGCTATCGTAATTTTAAGGAATATCGTAGCAACGTTTGAATTTTGACACTGAAATAAATTTCTGTAATTGATAAAATAAGAAAAATAGACAAATTCCGCCAGGTAACCTTTCAGTATTTCTAGGGCCATACTTTTTTCACATGAACAGTAGTTTAATTATATTTATGAATTGAATATTATTATTTATAATTCTAAAAGGGACCATCTTAAAACACTGAATTCAAACTTGCTAATTAAATTGGAAGTTTAGTTATATTTGATTAATGATTTTCATGCAAAATTGAATAAAGATTAGTACTTTGTGATAATCTGTCGTGTGCACTTTTTGCTCACTTTACATTCAGTTTGTTCACAATTGCATTTAACTTAACGAAAACTTACATGACATCTATTCATTAAACATATGTAAATCCCTCCTTTAGTTTCATTCAGGAAAACAATTCCTGCCAACAACACCAAGCAACCCGACAATATAAACACTGTAACTATAGATCCATCAAAACTTAATGGAACTACCGTTTCTTCTTCTTTGTCAACATTTAGTGCTGCTTTTCTAAATAAGAACCTCCTTTCCTCCAGTTCTTTTTCGATTCGTCCATAAATACCCGTCTCAATTAAATACCAAAAATATCTCGTTACAAGCGATTTCTTCCCTGCGATCGGAAAGATTAGCCCGTAAATTGAACTACTTCCACTAAATATGTTTCTCGCTTTATAAAATTTCTTCCAAAAGTAATGCCTCGTCAAAAACCTGTACTCTTCCTCAACCAAATCTGCTTCTGAAACAAAAGCTGTTTTACTGTCACAATCTACTACTTCTTTTTCCACACTTTTCTGCAATTCAGTGGAATCATTATATATCTTGCCATAGTTGTAACCCTGAGTGTGATGTTGGATGCCTGGCATGACAAGGTTAAGACTGAGACGTAATTTCTTATCGACATAGGAATCCGTTGTGCCTGCAAGTTTTGAACTGTCTCCAATTAGTATCTGCTTAAATAAAAACGTCACGAATTTAGGCCAACTTGGAGAACCATCCGGATAGTATTCGTGAGGCAACGACAACAGACGGAAACAGTTTACTTCACTGGAAATTGTTACCTTTTCCCGCATAATGCCCATTCTCCACAATTCATTAACATGAGATTTAATTCCCTCCATAATCACGCGTACTGAGGTGGAGTTGTCTGTAAGATTTGGTAACTTTTTACAAGCAAGATCCTCCCACACTTCTGGATGGGAAGCAGGAAGTGGAGAATTTAATTCGGTCGTAATCAAACCGGTGTACGCGTTTGATAAAATTACCAACATAAGACACCAAACACTAAAAACGATGCGGAAGTAGGGAATTTCAATCTTCCTTCCAGGCACATAACATTGGGCTAATAATGTACCGAAAGCGTATAACCATGCCGGTGTGGAAAATCGGTCACGTTTCCACTTTATACTCAGGGACAAAACGCTGATCACCATGAAGAATGAGATGATCAAAACTGACCACATAGCGGGCTTAAATGGAGCCAAATAAAACTGAAAAGATATATATTTATCAGCGTAACATGACAAATACGAATATCCATTGATTTTCGTCACTAGTAGGATTGAAGTCCAAGCAAGCTTAATATCAAAAGTGTCTATTTGTGAATTGACTTTAAATTCCGGCATTTCATAGCAGAAGTCGTCACTTGGTTGGAATTTTAAGGTGAAATTGGCTTTCCTAAATACGAGTTGGATGAGATGCTGCATGGAGTAGCTAGTTTCACGGTTAAATGGATTAATTTGATTTAATGATGAAAACCAGGCCAAATCTAGTTTAAGCCAATCCTTCCGGGGCACCATGTAACACCAGGTGATCAAATTGGAAAAACTATCGTCTGTGTGGACCAATGAGTCAAGATTTTCGTTCATATCACTGCTGATAACGTTGCAGTTGGGGTTATGCATTTCACGAGTTGTTCCAAGTTTGATATGACATAACCTATATTTCACCTTGGTAATATAAAGTACACTGAAGTGAACGAAGTTAGCATTAGTTACGTACCATACAAAGTACTTGTCAATTTCGTGATAAAATTCTTCCCGTGTTCCAGAATAGATCAAGATGACAAAAGTATTCGTGGGTAGGTAGGATTTAAGAAATTCGGGCAAATAAGTGTTGTAAGACATACGATATTCTGACGCTATTTTCAACCATTTCTCGAGAATATGGCGTGACATGTTTTTCATGAAAAAAGAACTAACTATGAAGGTTACCTTGCAGCGAGGGAATCTTGACTGCAAGATATTTATGGATGGTAGGTTGGGGTCTTTAAATGAAGGGTACTCGCATATGTTGAGTTGATATTTGGTCAAGTGCATTAGTGTTGCAGGAATGTTATAGGAAACAAGGTTGAAAAAATTCATCCCGTCGTGCATGATTTGCAAATCGCATGAAACGTGCGGGACATGGGGAAGAGAAAATGCCGGTGAAATATCTATCATATCGTACCTTGTGACACAGAGTAGTGGAAACCCGCTCAGAAAATAGATAATTCTGATGACAAACACCATAGTTATGTTACAAGCAGTTTAGAAAATATTGGTTTTCAAAATATGTCTGTAGGTCAGAAATTGTATTTAGATGTAGGCCTAAAAAGCTGTCTTCCTGATGCTTGTTTAAAGCTAAAAATTATACCTTAAAAATATTTTCTAGAGTAATCCGAGCTCAATACTATTTCCCAGGCGTCATAACTAAGTATACAGTGTTTCATGTTAAATATATGTATATATGTGCATTTGATTAAACAAGCTAACCCGTAAAACTTAAGTTCGGCATGGAGGAAACATTATTTCAAATTGCATTTAATATTTATTGAGATTTCTTAATGACAGTGTTTAAAAAATATCTGTAAAGCTTACTTATAACTATGTACTTTATGTGTCCATGTGTTCAAAGAGTTTCTGATCCAGAAGCTTCATGCTTACATACACCATAATAATCGAAGCTAGTATAAACTAATATAAGAAGCAGGATTTTGAATTATATATTTCAATTCCATAAGTGCTTTCACCTGGGGTGTAAGAACTATGATCTGTTGTTTAAACACGATTGCATTCATGACAACTAGAGGTACTATGGTTTTAAGGTGATTGCCAATTACACTAGCAGTGGTAAACATTAATTAGTGTAAGTGATCCTGGATCTTATCGTAGGCTATGCTTTTAACGACAAACTATTAACGTGGGGGATCTGTGCCCCTGTGGACGAGGTCAAATGTTGGATAATGTTGAAAATTGATTTTTGATATTTATCGCTGACATTGCAGATATCATTTGGAACAACGATCAACCAATGTATGCTTACCCTAAGAAAAATTGTCGCACATGTATGTACACAGTCATGTATCATCAGTTCCCTGGGCGTATTCGAAATTCCAATAAAAATCATATGTGTATGGCTGCGTCTCCAACAATCAAGTAGGGCTGTGCGGTCATATTCGGATCAATTCGAGCTGTTGCCCGAGGAAGTACATCAGTATTAGAAATACTGCGCAAAATTTGTTTAGCGAAAAATAATTTTAATTCTGTAAATGACGGTCTAGACTTCGGATTCATAACCCAGCATTTACATAGTTCCTCGTAACTGCAAATATAGATAAAAAAATTTTAGCTCGAATCGTATTTTTAATAAGGATACTTATTACATCTCGTTTGTCATTAGTGTTGGCTGGTCAGGCTTAATTTCTCCATTTTTTAATCGTTGAATGAAAGCAGTCGGACAGATCTCTCCCCGGATAGGGAGACACTCCTAAGGAAAAATATTCCCAAACGGTCAGAGCAAATGACCACACGTCAGACTGTGTTGAATACTCCGAATCTACTAATGATTCGATTGCCATCCATTTCCATGGTGAAGGTTTCTTGACAGAAAAATTGTCATGATCTTAATCTCACTCAACCCTTCTTCAATGTTTTTCGATGTAATTTCTCAAATGCTACATATCAACTTCATGAGCGTTGAGATAAATAGGACTTTTGATATTTTAATGTAAAGCTAGTTTTCGGTACTACAAAACTTTGGTGTTTTAAAAAATAGAAGATTCGTCTTTGAAGAAATTTAGTGTGCAAAAATAGTAAATGAATTTTCTATTTTTTTTAAAAACACCAAGGTTTTGTAGTAACAAAAATTAGCTTTAAATTAAAATATCAAAAGTCCCATTTGTCTTAAGACTCATGAATTTGATCCCATTTTAGAAATTGTATATAAAGACATTTAGCAAGGGTTGACTGAGGCAAAACACTCGATGAAAAAGAAGTAGAGCCTTAAGAATTATGAAATCGTTCAAAGCCTACGTTTTCATGTTTCGTAAAAGTGGTGTAACGATACAGTTGTCGAGATAACCCAAAATCCGCAACTTTGGCTGTTCTCATTAAATTGAGTAAAACGTTCCTCGACGAAATATCGCCGTGTATGGCCTGTTATATTGATTAAATGTAAATCAACATATGCATTTACATAAGCCCATTTCAAATTCTTGAACACACATGTTTGCCGGCAATATATTCCATGCCATTCGCTGTTTCAAATGCCCATGTGATTAAATCCTGAATGGTAATGGTTTTCGGGCTTTCCCATGAAATGTAATCCCTGTGTAAGTCAAACCGAAATACGGATTACTTAATAAATAAGATAATATTTTACAAGAATCGAGTACCTGTTTATAAGGTCGCATGCTTCTTTGTTTATGAAGGCTTCACGATTTTTTCTCAAATACGACTTGATGCTACCATACGCACAGTATTCCATGACGAAGTACAACTTTCCTAGACAACAAAAAATCGTACAAATTTCTATTTCATCTTGAACAGCTTATGGCAACATACTTCTCTTCACTTCCGACGTACAAGCACCCACTAAGTTTACTATATTTTCATGACTTCCTATAAAATTCAGAACTTGCAATTCCCGTAGTAAAGATTTAAGAAATGTGACGTCTGGAGAGGGTAAAACCGTCTTTAGGGCAACAATTTGAGTCGACACAGAATCCACGTGGCGTCTTGTTAATGATGCCTTGTACACAATTCCAAAAGCACCGCTGCCCAGTGGAGGATTCGTGTCAAAGGCCAAATCATTGAACGAGATTTCAAACGTTTTATTGTAACGTTGGTCTAAAATGTGGCCAAAGCATATTTAAATTTGATACAACGTTCGTATTATTTTTAGGCAAGCAATTACGTCTATTAGCCTGATTACTGCTAAAGAAGTCGTCCAAATCTTCGTCTGACAAGACACGAAGTGCTGGGTCGATCGACCCATTCCTTCCAATTTCTATATTAAACGAAACAACTGTCCAAAAGAAGTATAGCTTGTAAATTGCTAGTAAGATTAAAGTAACAAATGAAACTCTAGTGTAGAAAAGTCCGTGATGCGCGTTAATGATGAAACAGCAGAACCAAATGATATACAAGAAAGCGGACTGGACCAACCACCATTTCAAAGCTTTTCTATCTCTCTGTGAAAAGTGTTACTCGTACATATAACATACATATAATAATAATAAATGGTAAAAAAGATTTGAGATGCCAACCTTAGAAACTATCATCAATAATCGAATTGCCAAGCCAATTGTAACAAGCCTATAGAAATAGCAGAAGATCCAACTTAGCATGTAACCTACTCAACAACAAATGTAGCATAACATCAATTAAGGTTTATAATTATACAACGAAGGAAATTGCATATGAATTGCGTAATATTGATTTGATACCACAAAACTGTGAGACATTAGAGTCCTTCTTACTCCAAACTATTTCTAAGTGGTTGGCGTAGTCGACTGTAGCCATAATTATCATTACAAGGCTGACACCCTGAAAATTACGAAACCATCTTTATTTCACCCAAGCGTAAGTAATTTGAAAAATATGCCTACAACTTCAACCACTGCTGCAGCTTTCACAGCCCCACGCAGGAACAGTCCCATGCACGGCTGTAATATCAGATTTTTATAATTGAGCCCCATTATTGAGATGGTGATTCGTGAATCGTCGCACAATGAATGGCTTAGCCAGGAAAGGGTTATTGCACTACTTTTATCATACATTATTGTGATAATGATCAAGATTAACGTCATGTTTTTCGTATGTTGATCAAACTATTTAGTTAATAGTTTGTTTGTTCGATAGCTCCCAAAACAAATACCTTGTAATGTTAAACATGGCAATGGAATGTTGATTAATGGTGGTGGTGGCGACGCAACAAATCCATGTATGAAAATGATGGATGAAACCTCAAATTTGTTGAAAATTTTATCTCTGCGTGGTACCATTTCTATGAAACGTGTTTTAACAAAAATAATTGAATCCTTAAGTATTTATAAAATTCAGACCGATTTCGAAGATTAGCACAATCAGTCAAAAATACATATATTAAGTTTTTGTAGTGGGAACAAAAAAAAACAAAGCAGACGTCGAAAAAAACTCTATCAGACCTCATATCACGATAACAACTAATAGTGAGCAATATGTATCTTTCGAAACTATGTATGTTTTTTTGCTGTTAAAATGCTGGGTAAAATAATGGTCAATGCCGAAGGAATAAGACAGGCGCCTACGAAGGTACATATATACATATTTACAATAAATGAGGATATTTAATATAGTATTACTGATCGGAATATGTTTGCACGTATAACTTCGTTTGCATACGTACATTGGTCAATTTACATACTTATCTGGCTTAACTGATAAGGAGTGATTTCGAGCCATAGAGGAATTAAGTTCGGCTTGATCAACGCCACAATGGCATCCGTGTAAGCTGGTGGCAATGCCCAGAAAATCCAGTAGTCCAGTTCAAACACAAATAGAACACAAATTGATATTTACCTGATACGTTGAAATCTTATTTTACAGAATTATCCAGATATTTGAGATGTATGTATGTATTTATAACTAAATGCGAAATAGTCGTAAAAATACTTTAATATACATTGACCTGTGTTATAAAACCAAACTAACTACCAGCTTGAAAGGTTCTACTTCTTAAAAAGATTGGGTCGTTGCTTAAAAATACTACTGTGGTGTAAATGAAATTGTATAAAAACTCAAACTCTAATTTTACGCCAATCGAGCAATAACAAATTACTTTATTTAATTATTCCAATTTAATTAAATACTGGACAAAACTTTACTGACTCTTCCTTGATGCTCTCTCGCATACATACATTCACCTTACTACTGACGTTTTTAACTGACCAAAGAAAGATCTGGAAAAATGCTGATACCACCAGCGCTCAGTTTAAATTCTTGGGGAAAAATAAGACTATGAATTCAAACAACCTATTTGCCTGTACTTACAATTGTCAGTACTACGAGTAAGCATAAGGTGCATACAAAAATTCACAAATTTATGCAAAGAATGTATGTATGTATGTATGCATCAAGTATTTCGATATACATAAACTACAAAAATTGCAACGTAATTATCAGTGTCGACAGACATTTTGCTACATACGTGCATGTCATGCAAGTTTGTTACATCATTACATTTACATATTTACGTATGAACATACATACGTACATGCACGTGTGTATGTAAGAAAACAAAATTTTACATTGGGCTTTATGTAAGTTTATTAATTATGTAGTACTGATTCTAAACGACATCACCGAGGCAATTGTCTAATTTAGCGTCGTCACTAGGAACGTAGTTCCCGTTGATTGCTTGCAAACATAAAAATTATCCTACATCAGTCCCCCATAGATTCCGATGGGTCTCGTAGTCCTTATTTTCCGTATGGTAAACCCTTTAACTTTACACCTCAGCAACAAGTATAAAAGATCATCATAGTGCGCGAAGGAAAAACCACATACTCAACGTATTTATGTACCATTTAATCTGGGGATTAAACTTGTTTTCAGAAAAGCAATTCTTGAAGATGTAATAAAGCATTTGGCAATTCGACAATCTAAATCTATCGACATAACATGAAGCTCCTGCTGGTGAGGGGAAACAATGGCACACAATTTCTCAATAAGATTCCAGTAGTAGTCTCTTAACACATTGATTTTAATTCGTCAAAACCCAATACAAAGCTTAAATTTATTCTTCATCATCTTCTCCATCAATATCGTCTTCCTCATCACCATCAGGTTTGTCCCAACAAGCTGGCCAAGGAACGCATGTAGGTTCCCTATTTTCCGCGGCGTCCGTGTCCACACCCTCACCTAGATAAGTCAGCCATGAATATGTTGAAGTTATCCCGATTTTTGTAAGTAATGTAGAACATTAATGTTTAAAATATTGTCATACATGCTTGCACGTTCTTTTGAGTTCGCCACTGTAATTTCATAAAACAAGTATTTTATTTACCAGTGTTACTAACAATTAGCGATATCTGAACACTCTAAATAATCCAGTAATATCTATTACCAGTCGGTGACTACATATTATGACTCTACCTCCATGGTAATAAACTTGTTCCCAAGTGATAATAAATTTGTTACCAAGTTCGCACTAACTGTAATCCTGGGATAAGATGTAGGCTAACAAATTTACGACCAGCCGTAATAAATTTATTACGGCTAAATTTTATTAATAATTTTTTAATAAATTTATAGCCGAAGTTATCGTTGGTAATGTATATGTATGTCCTTTTATTATTTGTAGATTATTTAGTTTTCTCCTTACCTGACTGTTTTCCGTTGCAGGAATCTTCATGTCATCCGGAAACCCAATATAGCCAAAGTTGTGGTTGAATTTGAGACAGTAGATTGACAAATAGTCATAGTCAGTCACTTTACCGGGAAGTGTTAAGGTGATAGTTTCTCCGGAATATCGTCGTAATTGGGTACACCTTTTGTAGTAAAAGAAACATGTCTAATTAATATGTAAGGTTATAGAAAGACTACTATGTTAAATTTAGCGGTTTTACTCTAGAGTTAACTTTTGCCACACTCAAAAATTTAATTATGCTAAAAACTTCCGATCTCGACCTGTTTATTAGTGGCGTAATTTAGAATAAAGAGTGAGTCTGAACTTTGTTAAATCTTTAAGCACCTGTTTTTCTCATCTGGCACGACAATTCCATCCAGATCTACAAATTCCTTAATGTAATCGTCCCCCTTTCCAGCAACGAACCAACTTCCGGGCCCTTCACCATCATAGGTCAATCCGTTGATCTGGATCGTGGTCTCGTCCATTACTGAGACATAGCCTTTGACGCCGTGCATAAAAGAATGCATTCTGCCAATCTCCATTCCTTTACTACTTGCAATATCCAAGTGCAATATTAACAAGCTTAATTTTAAGGTTATGGAGGTAAATAATAATTTTAACATTTTCTAAATTGGAAAGGTGAGAAATGGAACAATATATGTATGCACGAGCTGGTACCTGACACCAACCTGAAAATGAAATGGACTGGTTCACTAACTCGTTTAGGGAACCAGTTCATATGTTCATACCTCAGCAGTAAATACCTACGACACGCAAGTGGGACCCAACCTGGGTCACCCAAGTGGGAAATAAATATGCGTCAAACAGTGTTCCGGGTGCAAGTAATCAAGTGCAAGAAATAATGGCAAGAAAGTGGTTTCCTACACCTAAGTATTTTGACTTGCAAGAAATAAGGATTGTCCCCACAAATAAAGTGACAAGTTTCCCCATATCTAGATATCTGTTGAATCAGTTAGAAATTAATTTAGGACATGTATGTAACTGACAAGATTTTGGGGATAAAGTAACAGATACTATCCGAAGTAAAAAGGAGACCAAAAAATTTGGGACCATTTCAGCCGGTTATGGAGAAATTCGTCATGGGGGTTGGGAAAAAAATAGTGGCAAAACGCTCCTGAAAGGTGCTCGACACAGCCTTCTTCCACCTGTGGGGAAGACGTATTTCGATAACTAAGGATAAAAACCTTCGGCATGCTTATCATTAGTATTACGCAAAAGTTTCATTACATTTGATTCCAGTTTTTGCACTCTACAACGTTCTGACACTTTATTTGTGGAGACGCTTCTTACAACGTGCAAGAAAATCCTTCCCGCCAGTTTAATTCATGGGGTGCTTGGCTAGATGGCACGAATTTCCTGCATTTTTTTGTTGTTTTGTTTCACTTAGAATTTCTAGCAGTTTGCTTATTTGTAGTGCAATAAATCATGCAACCCGAAATAAACCCGTAAGCAACGAAACACTGACGTCAAATTTGCTTATTAATGAAGATCTGTTTCATGCACACCTGGCATAAATTGTGTTAGGTAGCAATAAGGTCAATGAGTGATAATTACATGAATTAACAGATTTACCGTTGCTTCCAAGCTTTCTGAAAGGCCGAAAAAGGCTTAACAATTTCATCCCATCATGCATAATTTGCAAATCCCATGAAACATACAGGTAGTTGGGAAAAGAAAATGCTGGTGAAATTTCCATCACATCTGGTTGGGTGACACAAATTAGCGGAAATCCACGCAGAAAATAGATACTTTTGATGACAAATGCCGTAGTTACATTAAAAACAGTCACGCAAACATTTGTTTTTAAAATAGGTCCGAAATTGTAGATTTTATCCCAAGAAACTATGTCTTCCTGATGTTTGGTTAAGTCTAGATATTGTATTTATGTTAAAAATATTTTATAGTTTAATCTGAGCTCAATACATACTAGATAATTACCAAACGTCATAGCGCCACAGAAGCCAGAGTTTCATGTTATGTGCATACCTATATATACATCTGCCTAAACTTTCGAACCCACCAAAATTTAATTCGCAACAGAGCAACATTTTCTGAATTTTTATTTTATGTTTATTGAGACTTCTTAATGAAGGTGTTTAGTAACTAAAGCTTTCTTATAATTATTTTATGTGCACATATATAGATATAAAGTGTTTTAGATCCAGAAGCATCATGCTTACATATTCTTCTCCATATGTATTAATCGACAATACTATAAACTAATGTAAGAAGGCTGATTTTGAAGTAAATATTTCAATTTCTTAAGTGCTTTCCTCCAGGATGTAAGAAATTTTGATCTATTGATTTAAGTACAACTACTTTCGTGACAACTTTAATTTGTTAATTAATTACTTTTCGCTACAAGCAAAAATTACCCTTCTGGTTAATTTTACATCCTGTGTTTTCTAGATTTTGCGTACAGGTGTTTACTTCGATCCAAACACAAGTATATTTCAGCTAAAATACGTCTTAGAAATTTACCGATCCGTAACTTATTTTCGATCATAAACACAACTCCTGCCAACAAAATTAACAAACCAGACAATATGAACACGGTAACAATGGCTCCACCCAAACTTAGTGGAACCACTATGTCATTCTCCTTCCCAACAGCAAGTGCTGGCCTTCGAAATAGTAACCTCCTGTCGCCCAATTCTTTCTCGATACGTCCATAAACGCCGGTATCCACCAAATACCAAAAATATCTCAGCAATCGGGATCTCTTCCCCTTCAACGAGAACACTAGTCCATTAACTAAACAACTTCCGCCCATTATGTCCCTCCCCCTGTAAAACTTTTTCCCAGCGTACTGCTTTGACAAAAATCTGAACTCTTCCTCGACTAGATTTTCGTGCGAAACGAAAACCGATTTTTTCCCACAATCTACCACTTCGGGCTCAATATTTTTCTGTAACTCTGTACTATCATTATACTTCGTCCCGTAATTAAAATCTTTAATATGATGGTAATTCTGCGGCAAAAGTAGGTTGATGCTTAGAAGAATTTGCTTGTCTATAAACGAATTGGTAAATACTTTTCTGCTCATACGTTCAGCCTCGCCAAGTAAAAAGAATACGAAAATAAGCCAACTTGGATATCCATCACTATATTCCACCGGCAATGATATAAAATGAAAACAGTTATCAGTTCCGAACGTGGGTAATCTTTCATGCGTTTGTAAAATTCTTATTAATATTTTCGCGTAGGACGTTAGCTGGTTTACGGTATCACGTATCGAAGTTGAATTATCGTCTCTACTAGGTAGTTTTTTACATACAAGGTCTTCCCAAACTTCCGGATGGGAGGCAGGAAATGGGGAATTTAATTCGGTCGTAATTAAACCGGTATACGCGTTTGATAAAATCACCAACATAAGACACCAAATACTGAAAACGATGCGGAAATAGGGAATCTCAATCTTCCTTCCGGGAACATAACATTGGGCCAATAATGTCCCACAAGTGTATAACCATGCCGGTGATGAAAACCGATCACGTCTCCACCTTATACTCAGGGATAAGACGCTTATCACCACGAGTAATGAGATGATTAAAACCAACCACATGGCGGGCTGGAATGGGGCAAGGTAAAACTGAAATGATACGTAGTTGTCAGTGTAACACGACAAAAATGCGAAGCCGTTTACTTCCGTCACTATGACCACTAATTCCCCGTTAAACCCATTAATTAGTGCGTTCATTTTGAATTCTGTCATCGCATTGCAGGACCCATCACTAGGTACAAAATGTAGCATGGCATTAGCTTTAGTAACTATGGCTTGAACGAAATGTGCTATCGAGTATTTATTTCTTCGATCAAATGGGTTACTTGAAGTTGTATATTTTTGGTAAACATCTTCTCCAAAGGGCATCCTGTAACACCAATTGATAAATTTGGAACTTGTGTCTTCTTCGAGAAGATAGCGAATAGGAATGTCTTTAGTGATAAAGTGGCAATTCAGGGTCAAAGAAGGGTATCTGTTACGGTGATCGTTTTGGGCTAAATTTCTTTGAATTTTGCATTATTCTGATCAGTAATTAAGGCGATATTTTGGGCTAATATATTTTATCAAAATCCGGTTGGTTGTCAGTGGTTTTTGATTAGTAAATAGGGCTCAATGATTCATACCCCGATTTAAGGCTTGGGGAACCGGTTTGCAAGTCTGTCTGTTCGTATGTCTGTTCATTTTCAACTTCGTCAAATGAACCCCGATTGATTAAAAACTTGACGATTTGGCAGATTATACTATCAAACAATTATTCAGTGTGTCTACTATAACTCGAAGGGACCCGTTTGAGTCCCTTCCAACCCACGAATGTAATTACCGTTTTTATCTTATCGGGCTTTGGTGTATAGGCATTGAAAATGTTATGCAAAATGGTAGCAACGCGCAACATGGTTACCATTTTATTAATACCTGTGGTAATTTTGCATGGTTTCCATTTTATTCCCTGTTTTTTGATGCATTTGAATTTATTGCTCGAAATCTAGAAATGTACCATCTTAAATTCTTTGATGAAAAATCACCAATAGTATGACCATCAACATATGCAAATATTTACAAAATCGTTCGTGGGCTTCGTATTTTAATTTGCGTTTTTGTTTTTGGCCTATCTAAATACGTGTTAAACATAGCCCAGGAGAATATTTGTTTCTCCACTTGTGGACATGTACCATTCCTGAAATTTTCAGGAATGGTAGTTTGAAAGTTGTTTGATATCGTATAAAAAAATCAGAAAAATCGTTCGTGGGCTTCATCGTTTTATAATTCATCGAAATTTAGCCCAATACGATCGTCTTAATAGATACCAAGCTTTATTCCACATTTCGATCGGAATATGGCATAAGTTATATTTCTCTTGGTGAACAAAAAGAACGCTTAGGTGGACATAGGGGACTTCGTAGGTGAAAAAGTAATTGGGTACGTCTCGATAAAAATATTCCGGCTTTCGTGTATAGATAATAACCACGAATGTATTATGCGAGCGTATGTATGATTTGAGGTCGGGAAAATGTCTCTGGTAAGAGAGGTGATATTCTGAAGTTATTTGTAACCATTTCTTTAGAATGGACCATGAAATTTGTTCCTGAGAATTTCCCGTAAAAAATGAACTTACTATAAATGTCACCTTGCATGGAGGAAGACGAGACTGCAAGATATTAAGGGATGGCAGTTGCGCACCCTCGAAGTCTCTGTTTGATCTAATGTGAGGTATATAATTGGACATGTACACAATTTTGACGGGAACGCGGAGTGAACAAATGATGAAAAACTTCATGCCATCGTGCAAAATTTGTAAATCGCAGTAAACATTGGGATTAGAGAATGGTGGCATAATATTGAATATCAATCACATCAGGTTGGGCACTGCAGGTTAATGAAATTATACTCAATGTGCACATTGTAATGTGGATAAAAGACATGATTAAAAATTAGTGTCGAAAATACTAAGTCCTAAGACGATTTTGGAGTCAACAATTATTTATGTAGTCTATCTGTTACTCATGGTAACGTGTATTCTGCCCACTTTTTAAAATTCGTTGCCTTTCTTCTTAATTCGTTATAAAGATTTAATGTAACTTACATTTAATGTATATATATTTGCATATCTAGACTTTGAAGGCCTGTATGTATTTACATTTGGAATATTACTTGTCACATTAAATATTTGTTGAAATTTCTACCAAAATGTTTTTTTTTCGTGGTGAAAATGTGATTATTGTTAAAATCGAGACTCGAATGTTTATGCATGTATGTGTGTGGCCAGTTGTGAGCATTCTAATTCGGATACAGCTACATACATACAATTGTGTACTTTTTGGAATATGTGAAGCGATATTTTTTAATAAATTTTATATGTTGTTAATAATCTCATCAGGATTAAAAACTATTTATTACTCTACACGTAAATAGAATTCAACAAAACATACTTTCTGAGAACAACTGTTTTAAGTGATTGAAACTTATCCTTATCACGAATATCTACATACTTGCAAATTTTAATTAGTCTTAAAGTTTTAAGTAAATGATATCTACATAAAAAATAAAAAATGCTTTCCCAGTTGATGAATTTTACTGAACTATTTATTTAATCCATATGGGTTTTAATTTCCTTGATAATATATTTTTCCTGCATGAGGATAATTGCTTTCGTTACTTCAGGCATTATTGGCTGAATTCCATACATTCAAACCGAAATTTTAACTACGATTAACTAAACAAGAAATGCCCACAAGATAATTTTCAAAAAGTCTAAAGATTTATTTCTCCGATTGCTTATCCTTCACAAATATCTGAACAAATAAGCATCGCAACAATAACACCAAAAGTTTAACATTGAATAAACCTGATGAAAATATATATATATATAGGTAAACATGTATGTAAGTCCATGATCATTATCAAACTTAATAAATACACAGATTATTAAGTGTCCCCAGAAAGAAAGTGTCAGAACGTTTTAGACCAGTAAAAATGAATGCGTGAATCAAATTTAATGAAACTTTTGTGTTATACTAATGATGAGTTTCGGTATACCGAAGTTTTTTTGTCCTTCAATGGTCAAAATACATCTTGGATGCCGGTGGAGAGCCGACTTTGTCGAGCACCTCTAATGAGTGCTTTGCCACTCGTTTCATCAACTTCTATAATGACTTTCTCAATAGCCGTTGAAATTTTTAGAAATTTCTTGGTGTGCTTTGTTTCTAAGTATATTGTTACGCAATTAGTGCCCAAAATCTTTCAATGGACCGACATTAAGGTACGTTTGGAGCGATGTTTTTTTTCTCGACGAAATCAGTTTTTTTAACTCGATGGTACCCAGTCACTATTTTGGCATTCTGGCACGTAGTCATGTCAGGCCAAAATGAAACGTGTTGGTTTTTGATAGATGGGGTCAATCTCTTGATGATACACTCTTTCAAATAAAGTGCAAAGTTCATATTCATGGTTGAAGCAAATATGTATATTGGAGATGCTCTCATGGACAGCCATTTTATGTATTTCATTGGAAATTTTGCTTGGCTTTGAATTTATAATTCGAACGAACGTCATTTTTACTTCAACATGAGTAGAACATTGCACCATTGACGCTTCGAGGTCAACGGGGCAGTGGTTTTCATCATCCACGACGAGAAACTTCTGAGAGTCAATTTTAACATTTTCTCCATAAGTTTTCCACAAAATGATTTAGCTCCAGCTTTTTTATCTTCATTGTATTTTGTCGCGGTTTTAGTGTTGCAAGTTTTGAAGCCCATGTTATTGGCTTTGATCTTGTGAAGATAGGTTTTTGAAATTTTTAGTTGTCTGGGTTCAACCCTTATGGGTATGTTGGGGTTGCGTCAAAAAGATTTTTTCACGTTTCGCGTGAGAATATTGGTCTCCTGGCGGACAGGTTGACAAAGAAAAATTTTACATTTTGCATTTTCACGATCCTTAGATATGTCTAGCGTATGACTAATTTTGTCCGGGGCATCCCTTGAAGAATGAAGTGGTCACGAGCCATTTTCCGCTTCGAGAAAAACATTTTTTTGACTGAGTGGCAAAATAATTTTTCCACTTCCCCCTAATTTTGTCATTTTTTAACGAACAGAGATAATCAAATTCTGCTTTCAGTTTTAGAAAGCTTATCAAATTTTCCTATTTTGCCTATTTTTTACATATCCAAAATTAATTTGTAAATGGTTGAAAAAACAAGGGGAAACTTGACACTTTCTTTGTGGGGACACTTGATATATTGTTTAACAAACAGGCAGCAATTTTTTCAAGTGTTTTCATGCTTAAATTCTAACAAAAGAAACCAGAGCCTTTAAACAAATCTTTTTCAACTTTCCCAAGGCCCCAACGTCATCACTAATTTTGTACGTGTTTGCTGTAATGGTCATTCGATACTCGTTCAGAACTTGTGGCGCTATTGTTACAGGGTTCTTACGACGCCACTCGAATATGACCTGATCACTAAACTCTTTCGGTACGAGGTCGAAGGATGCTGTAACCTCGGTGCCGTTAATCCGTGTAAGGTCAAGGTTAATGTAACTCTGCTTGGTTTTACGGGAAATCTGGATGAAAATTCGAGTGACACATGAGCTAAAATTCTACTAATTGTTTTCTTAAACTAGCTAACAATCGAGATCTACTAGCGGATTCGCTTCGATTTTGATTAAAATGGTGTCCATCAATGCTAGATTGGATTAATATGAAATTCACAAAAGAAATACACTACACACCTGCCAATCCTTCGGTTTGGCAGAAACGTTTGCATTTGAAGAGGAGACAACCTTCATAAAGTGACAGACTTTACGCTTTCCAGACTTACTGCGGGTTACCTTGTCCTCAGATGCAAGCAAATTTGCCAAACATGGGCATTGGGAGATGTGTACATAGTACATTTCTTTTGTGAATTTCATATTAATCAAATTTGTAATCGATGGACACTAGCTTACTCAAAATCTGAGCGAACACGCTGGTAGAGTTCCTTTGTCAGGAAACAATTTGTTTTGTGGTAACTTATGTACCTCTCCATTTCTCCCAATAATGGTAAACATCTCCTCTCGATAAGTTGAATCTGCAAATTGAGGCAACCAGATGTGTCTAACAATGCGATGGTGTGAAGTGTAACCCTCCGATTTGGCTGAAATTTTGAAATTAGGTGGTCCAAGTCAATACAACCAACGTTTCTTCAGCCAGTTTGTGCGATGGTTGGAGTTACTCAAAATATTTGAGGTCAAAGTTGAAAAAACGGCCGACTTTTTTCAGGCGGAGTGAGAAAACTCCACTTCCATTCTCTTCCCCTCGCATTGATTTTATTCAGTTTCTCACACATACGCCTTCATAAACAAGCATAAGCAGTGATGCAAAATAACCAAAATAAAACATTACTTAAATAGGAATTAACACGCCTCATGCTCGCTTAATTTAATTCATAATTGAATAAGTGAGATTTTTACTTCTTTGCATTAAACATTCATACAAACATTAATATAAATATAAATTCATTAACGGCAAATAAGCATGGAAAAACTTAACTTACTTTCCATTTCGAAACCGTTGGTTATTTTGTTTTTCAAATCATTTGAAAACAAAGACCAAGACCCATGTGCAATGAATAATTAATGTTTTTCTATAATAAATTAAATTTAAAATTGATGAAATGAATTATTTTTCGGAGTGAGAATCAATGCGAGGAGGAGAGAATGGAAGTGGAGTTTTCTCACTCCACCTGAAAAAAGTCAGCCGTTTTTTCAACTTTGACCTCAAATATTTTGAGTAACTCCAACCATCGCACAAACTGGCTGAAGAAACGTTAGTTGTACTGACTTGGACTACCTAATTTCAAAATTTCAGCCAAATCGGAGGGTTACACTTCACACCATCGCATTGTAAGTCGGGGGCTGATTAATTCCATTTTCACGTATGACCGGTTACAACCTTGTTTAGAGGATGTACATTTAGATCAAGAAGTTTGGAAACGGGTCGAGTAAACACATGAATTTTTTTCATAGACTGTTAGAAATCTGGTGCAGACATGAAGGTACTGATTTCTCGGTATTAACGCTGCTACCGATTTCTATTACATCAAATTATACTATACCCTAAAATATTTGCTACCCATTCGGTAAAACATTAATACTGAGCTATCATTTCACAGCGTTACGTATCAACACTACTTTGGTAGAGTCGTATATTAATATGTACCACTTGGTGTGATTTTATACCGGATTTCTAAGAGTGTAAATAACTAAACCACCAGACTTACCGCTTCCCATTCCCCACGCTAATCTCGGGTCGTTCCATTCCCACAGCATCGTCGCGCTAGCAGTTGCTCTTTTAATAGAACCGAAAATAGTTGCAAGTTCCACGTTCAACGAAAATTTTGCAATTGTGGGAGTTTTGTTGGAATACAATGGGGAAAGTTCGGAGTTGTAGTCAAGATAAAAATTCTTTCCAATTTGGTGATAACAATCGGAAGCCAAGTGTAAGGCGACATTTTCTTCAGTAACAATTCCTCCAATGTTCCCGAAGATAAATACGAATAGGGTAAGTAAGGAGATTTTCTTAAAGTGCATTTTAAACAGATATTGAGTAAGGCAAAGGCTGTTGTTGCTCTGGGGGGGAAAAGTTTGATACTGTGAAGTCCTTGATGGCCTTTATTGTGCCAAGTGACTTTATGTTGAAATAAATATGAGGGCATGATATGATTTGGGTATATGTACATACATAAGTACCCAAAAGGGCTCACAATTTTAGTAATGCCGCAGGCAGTAGTCAACCTTGCGGTTGATGGTGTGACTATGACAATAATGTAACGTTACTGTAGTAAACATGTACCATACATACGTAAAGATATATATTGTACTTATTTATGTACGTACATACATACATATCTATCTAGGTATGTAGGTCAGGGCTTAGGGCCTTGTCACAAGAATCGTACATACATATCGAAATACTGACTCCACACGAATCTTATTTAGTCAGTTTTTCGACTGATTTCTCTCGTAATGTGTACATAGAAATGCCAACCGTGTTGTGCACTTAGGTACACATATGTACAGTACATATGTAACAACAGTCTAGCTCCGATTTTTTCGCAAAGAAGTTATTTATACCATCCAACGAAAATATGGATTATTCCAACCAAAATTAATAACTTCGCCAATCATGACTTGTGCAACCAATTGATTTATTTTACAACGCTATTCATTAAAATTTCCAACGAAATAATTTACTGTTTAGCCCGAACCAGGCCTTATGTAATTGTAATGTCCGTCCGTCTTTCTGTCTGTCCTTCAATAACTTACGAACAAGTTTACCGATTGACTTGAAATTTTTACCATATTGTATGGAGGGTGTCCTAAAAGTTTCTCCGATGACTTTTCCCTCGGTTTTTGTTGACAACTTTTGTATTTGTAAGTTTTGTTGTGAAATATTTTTTGCAATACGATACCAAAGGGAAAGTCGTCTCGCCAGCACACGGAAATAAGCACTACATATATCATCATCCAGTACAGGGCAGGGTATTGGGTTTATTGAAAATTTAAACACTCGAAAGAAGCTAGGATTTCCGAGCATCAAAAAATATTTTACACCCAAACGCAGTTCAGATAGTTCGAGGATACTCTCCCCATCAAAAAAATGCTAGGTTGCATAAAAAATTGCAAGGAAATAAGCTAGTTCTGCTATAAAAACTGGAATCTTGCACAACGGCACTTTTGGAAGAATTAACATAATTACTGGGACTAACTCGGTGTGACAAAGGAGGGGTGCCAGACATGCAGGGGTCAGTATAAAACACTTTTAAACCCAAGTGATATCAGTTAAACTTCGCAAACTGGGTGAAAAACTTAGATTTTCGACTGTTTTGACCCCTGCGGAAGGCGACGATGAGCCGATATATAAATATGAACAAAAATTGGGCAGAGGGGTATTAGGGGGTGACCCCTAGCGATTGGGTTTATATAATCAGTTGAAACTTAGAATGGATCGAAAAATAACTTATGATTAGCATATGGGAGAGTTGAATTTCGGAATTTTTATTGAGGCGACCTCCTCTGGTCATTGGAAGTAGTCGAGTGGATAGTAAATATTTTTACAATTTGGAACCAAGTAGTTATGTAATACGAATAATTGATGACAAGGCAAGAATTAGTTCAAAGTAGTAGCACACAATTTTATAGAAAAGTAGTGATAAACATGGATTTACTAAGCAAACCCGGTTCGGGCGAAGCAAACTGTACGAAACCTATGTACTGATAGGTTTCTTAATTAAAATCGTAATTTCATAATCGCAAAGTATGTAGGCTAATAGGATATGTGTGTAAAATATCTAAATATAATTTGGGTGGATGCTTTTACATTTTCGTTGGAAAGAAAAATTAAACCCGTTGCACATTGCACTATTGGCGATATCATCAATTTTGGTTGGATAAAACTGTATTTTCGTTGGACCGTTTAATTGGTACCCTTTTCGCAAACCCAAACGCAATTTTCTCATGAATAAGCAGATATTTCAAAATTACCACCAGCATTAATAAATTTCACCATTTATTAACAATATACCGGACTACATACTTAACTACAAATTTAGGAGAGAATGGGGACCCCTTGCAGGGCTGCTTCATGTACGACAACTTGGTCGGTGGTTCCTTGATATCTCTCCTCTGCTTCTTATGCCCCCCTAAGTACGAGAGAGAAAGATGATGCGCAATGTCTTTATTGGTAGTTTTACTTACTCTGAAAATGCTAATTTGGATGGACCAAAATTTCGTAATTTTTGACACATCGTTTCGTTTTAGCGTTTAAAGTCAGTAATAAGTGTAATTTAAAACATACTAAATTCATGTCATGATTGTTCTGTACAATTGGTGAATGCGAAGGAATTCGTTAATTAGAAAGGAATCTAGGCAGGCCGTTGTTTGGTGGAGGTATTTTTTAAATATAGATTTTGAGATAGGCATCATCGTTGTGATTTTGTTTTCGGCCGAGCGATGCAAGCAAATCTTCTTCCTTCTTCTTCTTTACTTGTGGAACCATGCACCCCGGCAGTGCTCAGGGGTCGCTCAATGGCTTCGTGCAAACTGCCGAGCAAATGACCAGCCCCGTTGCAAATATTGGGCGAGGGGTTTGGACGACGTGGTTGGTGGACCCTTGAGAAACTTTGCTGATGAGCTGCTGACCCATCCTGCATAAGACTTGGACAAAAGAAAGAAAGGCTGGCATTATGTGAAGAGAGAGAGAGAGAGTTGCTGCACAAATAAGTCGTGGTGGTGGCGGTGGGGCATTCTTCAACAGATTTGAGAGATGGCCAATATCGCCTCAGGTCAGTTTCAATTCCTCCCATTATGCTCGTCGACTTGCTTTTGCTTGGTTGGTTGGGGTAGGACTTTTGTGCTTAAAACCTACGTACGTACCCTGCGTATTCCTCTGCAAGAGCAACAACAACAAGGAGACTCGACCAACTCTTGAGCTGGAATGGGTGTAGAAATAATTGGGTCTGCTACAAAATGTAATGTTTTACAGTATGAATTATTATAAATTTTTCTCTTGAGTAGTTTTAATTTTTAATTTATTAATTAATAATCACAAGGCAATTTCAAATGCCTTGTGATTAGGTTACCCATCATGTAACTAATTACGTCAGTCGAGTAATTGACAAATTTTTAAGAAAATACTCGAGAATGAGTAGTAGAAAATACTTGCAGTTTAGTTTTTCATAGCTGTTTACTCTTGTTTTTGTTGATGGGAATTTTGATGTAATTTACTGCATTTTTAAACAGGAGCAGCAGCAGCAGCAATCAACCATGAATTGTTACCGAAATGAGAGGTATTCTAAAAAGGATATTGATGTCATATATGTCTGCAGGAAATGTCCAGGCAAGGAATTTGCCTTGGAAGATGTAAGGTCACATCAAGAGTTACACAAAAAGGAGAAGGAAATGAGACGAAAAAGGTGTGTTTATACATAGTAGTTGACGTTATAAATTCTTCTGTAAATGACATTATTATTTATAAAAATTGGGAAATTAATTTGCATTTTTTATTACCATTTTATTAAAGAGGCGACATCCTTCGTCAGCGTCGACTGTCATCATTTGTGGCGCTGATGATGGCGGATCATTTTCGTCCATCCTCCCATTAGAAAATGCAGAAACGGATGCAAGGTGAGGTTATTTTTATTTGCGTTTTATAGTTTATTTTCGTTTTATAGTTTGTTTGCTTGGTTGGTTTGCTTTGTATATAGTTTTATTTTATACAACATTTTATAACGAGAGTTTACGTTTTGCAAGCTACCAAAGTAGTAACGATATGGAAAATGTATCTTGTCTCTAAACATTTTTGTATTTATTATTACCTTGTCTCTAGTCGGCCGGTGCCCGAATGCAAGGAATGCAAGCGTCGGAAACATGCTCAGGTGAAATATTCGGAGCAGAATTCTCAACAAAAAGAAGTGTAGGTTTTATTTTGTACTTGTTAGTATGCAGTCTTTATCAATAATTTGACTAAAGTAATTTAGTTTGTAGTACTGGTGGATAACGGCCGAGTTGATGTATGATGTAGCCATGATTTAAATGATGTGAATTTTAATAAAAACTCTTGATAAGAAGCTTATCATTTTATTTGTTTAAATTTGCCAAGTATTTTGCACCACTTTTTGCACCAATCCATATATATTCTCTCTCTGCTGTGCTACCTGTCACATTTAGTTGGTGAGGAATGAATGACAAAACTCATGTATTTACAGGCCGTGCGATTCTGCGGTGGATTTTTATTCATTATTTTGCGGGTTTTAGAATATTTATGAATTTATCGTTTATAACTGGACAATTGGACCAAGAAATGGGCGCTCCCAGTAAAAATCGATGCTATGCAACAACCCTGTGGGCATACATGGCTTTTTTTTGGGGGGAGTGTGCTGGGCGAGTGCGAGAGAGATGTGGCAGTCAGAGAGGAGAGAATTGAGAGAGATGAGTTTGAGAGAAGGAAGGAGTTCTTTAGATAGAGGAGTTTGGCTAGAGGAGAGGAGGGGATTTTATGGGGAAGTGAGAGATGAGAGAGGGTTGTGAGATGTGTGTATTTTACGGGGTTGTTTCTCTGGTGAGTGGAGAGAATTTAATTCTGAGATAATATGCCATTTCCTACCATAAGGCGGCCAAATTGTGCAAAGTAATGATCAGCCTACATAATTGTATTAAGGGTGGTATTAGTGATAACATGTTGAAGAAAAAGTTTAAGAAATTTGTAATTGATTCACAATGTGAAGACAGACTTATTGATATTTATAATTTAATTGATGAACAAATGTTTATGTGAAAAAATGTTACTATTTATGTAATGTATTCTCCTTGGAACGTAATGCCCCATCTATATGGGGTGTTCCATTGTAATAGATCAACTATTATTGGGTAACTTTTGCAAGAACTCTAAGCAGTTCCTCACAAGTCCAATGATCATTCGTCATGAGAAATCTACGAAATATCGCCCTGGAATAACCAAGCATGTACATACACGTGTGATCTGAAACGTAAAAGCATATTCATGTGATTGCAGGTAAGATAAATACGGATAATTTATATACAAACATACAAAACTTAAAATGCGTACCATAAACCTCTGGGCCAAAGTCTTTTCTTAGGTTGGCTTC